ATGTCAATTATGGCGATGATGCAATGAAATCACTGTCTCACCATTGTGGTTCGCGTACGGCGAGTGACCATGTCACAGATCATACTTTTGACAGACATTTGCATTACCCGTAGGGTTGCAGGAGTGTTGCCACCTTTTAATAAAAGGGGCCCCCGCTACCGTACTCACCAGACGAAACGCAGAAGCATAACGCTTCCGCTTGACGTTGATCTTCTGTGATTCGTGCATTTATTAAAAGGTGGCAACATTCGTATAACCAACCCTGCGGGTGTTGCAAATGTCAATCGGCAGTGGTTTTATCTAACAGCAGGTGAACCGCCAGCTGGATTGCAACCGTCTCACATAAAAACGAGGCGGAACTTTATACAACGACCTCTAACAGAATTGCCATTTTATAATCTGTGAGCACTTCGTTTTAATATGCAGCCGGTTCGTATTAAGTGCCGTATCAGTGTAGTTATGATCCTTTTAAGGTACACTTACCCTAACGCGGGCCGTTCAAATTGAGTCTCTCGGTGTAAAACGATAGTTGCCAGTGCAAGTCCCGCTTAATGGCATGCTGTACTGGAGATTGTATAAGATTCATATTAGAAGTCGTAAAGTTCGCTCTTTATGGATTCGCTTCTAGTTTAAGGGAAGATATCGTGTATGAAAGGGACTACAAATTATACCCCCTTCCGCCTTACTTTCATAGAAATAGTTTTTTTGTCCTTTATTTCTTTTTAAAAACGGGCAATATTTTAGGATTACATTATCCTGTGATGTAAGGACGTTTTACAAACATAAATGCCACGCTGACAAACACCCAGATGCGAAACAAATATCCGTGGGTCACACAATTGGTTGTTGCTTGTGGGGATCGAATCCGCGACCCCCGATGCCGAAGCCAATACCTTGGCAACTGCGCCACGGAGACATCGAGTAGAGTAAAGTTTCCTTTTTTAGTTGTTATGTAAACATAAAAAAAATATCACACTTACTACACATACGCCCGGTTTCTGAAACAAAGGATGGTTAACCTCTCTTAATTGATCAGAATGATTTCAAATAGCTTAACCATTCTTTTGGCAACTCAATTGACATTTGAAAAGCCATTTGCCGAAGCGATGATCAGTGTTTCAGAAACCGGGCGTTACTATTGTTACGAGCAGGGGGTTCTCTGTTCTGGATTGGATTGAAAACCGGTCGTTTAAATGTTTACTTTATTGTCGCCAACAAAGAAGTGCACAATAAGCCTGTCAATAGCGTTCTAGGCCCTATGACTACCACCGGTGCGACGACTCTCCCGTTCCGTGACACGACCGCCGGTGCGCTCCCTCTCGCACCAATCTCCACGTACGCGTCCACTGGTGCAACGCTCCACACGTTACCGCACCAACCCACCACGTACGCCTTTACACTACTAATCACTTCGCGTCACTATTCACTACTATACTGTCAACTCACTATTACTTCACTATTCTCACTTTCCACTTTATTCTTCCTGTTTCTCCTTCCTCTTCCTTCTTCCTTGAGTTCCTCCACTGAACTGCCGTCTAAGGCGCTCTAAGCCCCTTTTATACTCGGAATTGTTCGTCAAATTCTGGAATTCGAAACTTCTTTCAAATTTATAATTATATTTTCAATAATTTAAAAGAACATTTTATACGTCATTCCAAACTGTCATCGACGGATCGTTGACAACCCCGTAATCGTAACACTATGTAACAGTAGTAAATGTGATAAAATTTTGACATTAAAAGTAATGATATAAAGTATAGTCGAAAACCCGTTAATATTATTTTTATTTTTATTATAATTGAAAATCCATGAAAATGACACACACACACACATACAAACACAGAAATAACATTTTTTGGGCCGGGCACCTTCGGGAGCCTACAGCAGTACAACTCAATAAAGTTCTACTGCAAACATTCAAATATTCATTTTTACTTATAGTAGGCGTCGTGACATATCTTATGTCAGCGAGTTGCAACTGACAATTAGTATTTTTAACCGACTTGAAAAGGAGGAGGTTCTCAATTCGACTGTACTTTTTTATGTTTGTTACCTCAGAACTTTTGACCGAGTGAATCGATTTTGATGATTTTTTTATTTGAATGCTGGTCCTTCCCATGTGGTCCCATATTAATTTCATTGGTATTGGATCTTGGGCTACGGAGTTACTTAGGGAACTCTTGAAAATCAATTATAAAATGAATACTGAGCGAGATATTTGAAGTCGGTTTTGTTTTTCGTTAGTAAAAAAATGGTTATTTTACTCACACAGCTTTAGATATCCATTTGTCCATGTTTGTGAGATTATAGACGAGCACTTTGCGAAGAGTTCCTTCGGTTTTCGTTGTACTGGTACATTGTGAAAATATTGAGTTACAAATCAGGCGGGGCGCAAATGTGGCATAGTTGCCACGCCTGGCCAACGGCTAGGTTGAGTGACGAACAGTGCAAATGTGCGGGAAATCGATGGATGCAGTTGACTCGGGATCTTTCGTCGTGGCAGTCCGTGGCAGGCTTATGTTCAGCAGTGGACACGAACGGGCTGTAATGATGATGATGAATCAGGTGGACGTTTTACATATAATAACGATGTCATAAAAAGTTTTTACGGTGGTAGGGCCACGCAACATTGCGGTGGTAGTGCCACGCAACAGTGTTCGCAGTTGCACGAATGGGCAGGTCCGTCCGGGTTAGTGCCACGACCTCACAGAAGACCGGTGTAAAGTAGAAGTGTTGTACTCCTGCGTTTCGTCTGGTGAGTGGTGTAGCCGGGGGCCCACATTATTAAGAACGCAACGGTGGCAACGCATGGATGTTGCAAATGTCCACGGGCAGGCGGTTATCACTTAACATCAGATGAACCGCCAGCTCGTTTGCCACTTTCCCACATAAAAAAAAAGTAGTGAGCAATTAACACGTGATGTCCTTACTAACGCGACGTAAGGCAAATATAATGATGTTCAGATTTGTGTCTAACAAATCTTTTGACTAATTTGTACGCAAAAGTGCAACTCCAGACAACGGTAGTATATAAATGGACAGCAGTACGAGGACGGAAGTATTAATTCTTTTTAATTTAATAATAATGTTGACACAGTTTTTGTAGACTAATGGGTTGGAAGAAAAGTATCTCCATATATCAGTTACTAATCTTCGTTAATATTTATTTGGGAGTTGTGTTTACAATTATCTCGACGAAGGATGTAGGATTGAAATAGGATTTTATTGGAAGTACAGTCTTTAAAAAGTTTGGTCTTTAGTTAGTTTTAGTTTTCTTTTTTTTTTAATCACAACTAGGGAGAAAAAGATGCTTAACGCCGTTTAAGTTCCACTAATTGTGACATATTGAATCCTCAAAACTTGAGCGCTGGTAACTCTACTAAAACAAATAAGCGACGCTGCAATTATTGCACATGCAATAAATGTACTTGGAGCTAGTTCTTGGAACACGTAATCAGGCTAATTGGTGAAACTTTTTTGCTTTCTTAACACTAATAGTAAAACTACTACTGTTTCTGTATATGCATTCTACTTCAAACAATTATTATCGTTATTGACGCCGAGAGTTTATTGTATTTTTACTAGTGAACGAAGTGTAATAATTTGGATCTTGACTGAGTAATCATTTACCTGAATTTTGAATATAATTGATTTCAAATATTTCGTTGCGAAATGATATATGAAAAAGTTGTTGAAACACACTAGTTGGCACCAAGCATTGGTTTAAATGCAATACAAAAATAGGTTATTGAGTATAGTTTTTGTAAATATTACCAATGTGGTGACTTATCACGTGCTCAGCGGCGAAGGAAATCATCGTGAGGGAACCTGTATATTTCCGAAATAACATCAAAAATATTTCTGAGACACGTGAAGTGTGGCCTTCACCAGTGTTGGGACATTTATAGGCTGTTACTTTACTTTAATGAGTTCTCGATATTAATTGTTATTGAAAGCCATTTTCATAAGTGAGCTCACTGCTCTAGTTTACTCTGTGGCGCCGGGCCGCGCTGGAGCCAATAAAGTGTGTGCTATCTCGGCCCCGGAGCCTGCAAGTTCCTGAATTGTATCGCGTCGTAAACATTGTGCCGCGTAAATCCGGCCATTTTGACTTTAAACGTTAATTGTCGCGCACTTTGTTAACAATTCCAGCGGCTTAATATGGCTGCAGAATAAATAAGCGCAATAATCTGTGAGATGTAGGAATACTTCAGATTACTTTAAATTAAAGCAAGCGAATTTTTCATATTGGGTTATTGGGAAAATGTTTCCTCTACACGAAGGGCACTAGGTATTTCGACCGTTTTTTACTTAGATGACTTTATATATTGTTGACCAGCAAGTAATTTAGAAATTATATCATAGAAATAATTAAAAGGTAATTGAAATTGAAATTACAATCTAATTGGTACCAGGTAATTTGCCTTTAACGATTTTATGTTGTACGTAAAATAAATTATAGATAAGAATTATAAGATTGCAATTATTATCAAGATGGTGGCTATGCATTAGTCAGCGTTGTTTATTTTCGATAAAAAACGAGGTTTCCTTTTTTGGTTCATTAAGATTGTGTGGTACTTATAACGCAATTATGTAATTTGCGCGCTGTTGAAAGAAACTTTTAAAAACAGCATTATAATATATCTCTGTGTATATTTATTGTATAAGATAATGTACATAATATTTAATACAAGGTTTCTGTTAAGAGTCAGGTGTAACCGCGCAATCATTGTCAAGGTCACGTTTAAATGACTCTTAATGCCAAGTGTGTTTACATTACAGATTGAAGTTTACAGCGTTGATTATATGCACGCCGATAACAGTTCTTTAAAAAGACAAAACAACCGAGTGTAATAAAAACAATGCGACGAATTTACACTTAGATATGACTGAACTGTAAATAATGATATAATTCGACGGTATTATCATTGGCTGTAAACGAAAAATAAATCTCTGTTCTCCCGAAAAAGCGGCGAAGACTGGACATCGATACAGTTACGATGAGTTTCAAGGACAAAGTGGTGTTAGTTACCGGCGCCAGCTCCGGTATCGGTGCTGCTGCTGCCATCGAATTTTCCAAAGAAGGCGCTTATGTTGTTATAGTCGCGAGGAACGAGGCCAAAATGGCAAAGGTCGCCGCGGAGTGCGAGGCTCATGGCAAGAGACCTTTGGTGATTAAAGCAGACGTGTCTAAAGATGAAGAGGCCAAAGCTGCTGTAGAGAAAACCATAGAGAGATTCGGCCGTTTGGATGTTTTGGTGAACAACGCGGGAATCTTACGGTACGGATGCTTATTAGACGAAAGGATATTGGAAGCTTTCGATCAGTTGGTGGCGACGAATCTACGTGCGGCGGTACATTTGACGAGTTTGGCGGTGCCACATCTGATCAAGACGAAGGGGAGCGTCGTGAACATATCAAGTGTGGACGGCTCGTCTATGGTGCCGCCGTTATTGGTCCCATACAGCGTGACCAAAGCGGCCCTGGATCATTTCACACGAGGCGCGGCGCTGGAACTCGCCCCGCATGGTGTCCGGGTCAACGCCATCAGCCCGGGTCCAGTTTACACGGATATCTACGAGAATGCCGGTCCAGTGCATCCGATGGACAATAGCAATATAAAGACCCCGCTCGGCACGATATCCCAGCCCGTCGAAATCGCCGACTTGATTCTGTTCCTGTCAAGCGAAAAGGCAAAAGCCATCACGGGCTCCAATTTCACGTCGGACAACGGATACGTATTGTCGAACTGAAAGTTTTCCATGAAATTATTTTGTCGATCTATTACGAGAATATGCGACTATAAATGCGAATATCCTACATATTTGTAAATGTTTAATGTTGTTTTTATTAGGCCATAGTCAATCCGAGTTTACTTCTGTCTATTGTTAATTTTATTTTAGCGCTTGTGTCTGCACTAGAAATAAAATTTATAATGTGTTTTTTTCTACATAAAAGGATAAGACGTCTTATCGACTAATCTAGTGTCTCTCCAGCATTAGGTTTTATACTTTTGAACTGTTGATGAGATGGCGAATTTAAACACAAATAAAAAGTGATTAAATCAGAATATCTTAACATTGTCAAGTAAACTGTAAAACTCACGTACATTGTGCATATCGCATTCAATGCCACCACATTAATATTTTTCTCGTAAACATATAAATACTTTCGAGCAATGATTTTGCAACTTTGGTAAGTGTTTGTGATAATGTAGTAATAAAATCTTATCAGTGTTACATTGATTATCAGTGATACAATGTATAAGGAATAAATGTGTGTGGCTAATGAGATCACTATACGAGTACTGCTTGGTTTTAAAAATAATGTTTTAATAATATATAACGTATTATGTCGTTGATCACTTGTTTTATCAACTTAAAACTTACTCAAACAAATCTAGTTATACTTACGGTAATATTGAAGAAGGTAAACTTGTTGTATCAGAATTTTGTTTAAAATTTTTGTAAAGTTTATTTTCTTTGATGACTCCGTGGTGCAGTTGTCACGATATTGGTTTCGGTGTCGGGGGTCGTGGGTTCGATTCCCACACGGGACAACTATTTGTGTGACCCACAGTTAGTTGTTTCGCATCTGGGTGTTTGTCCGCGTGAAATTTATGTTTGTAAAATGTACTTACAACACTGGATAGTGTTATCCTAAAGTAAGTTTGTATTTAAAAAACATTGCCCGTTTTTTAAATACAAAAATAAAAATAAAATGTTTGATGTTTCAATATTATAATTGTAAAAATTTTGCTACTACATAATAAATAAACTGGCGCCAGCTCAGAATTTTGATGTAATGTGTGATTAAATTTAATTAATCAAATACTGATTTGCGGTAAAAGTACAAAAGTCAATAGGGTATAAGCAATTAACATATATAGCTCTATAATTGTGTCAAATCCAAAGGTTATCGGTTTATAAGAGGTTTATCAAAGTTATCCGAGCAAGTTTCACTTGTTCATTTTGTACTCTTTGTTTTTAGTATGTTCTCTAAAAGCGTTTCTTTCTATTTCAGTAATAAATTACGAACATAAGATTTTAAACCTTTGTTAAAGTCTTTGGATATAACAAAAAGTTCGGGAGGCATATACCGTGTTTACCCGTTTACACTATTTTTCATTTTTGACGTTATTACCTTGATACGTATGTAGGTATGTAACGAAATCTTCGAACGAGGTTTTGACCCAATTCAAACGTCGAATTAAATTAAACTTTGAGCCTTTGAACTTAGGCCATACGCTTACCGATGACAATGCAATAATTTATATAGTTTGTCCCATTATCCTTAGGACCTTCAGGATTAGCGATTTTCCGAATACCCGGAACGATATGCTACGGTACCCGGTCTTTTTGCCATGTATTCGTTTAATTGTGTCCGCAATGTATGCGCTATTGTATTTAGCAGGACTAAAAAAATAGAAAATAAATAGTAAAAATAAAATACAGAAAATATTTTATCGTAGAAAAGCGTGGGGTACTTTTTAAGATATTTCCATAGTGACTCTACTTTGTCTAATATACAAAAACATTATTTTTTAATTTTTTTTACTATTATTTTTCTAATTAACGCGGTAGATTGTTGACATAGTTTGAAGGACATCAATATGACAAATATGATACATAAATATCGTAAGTATGATTGTTTATTTTGTAAACTACTACACTATTGTGTAGTGTCTATTTCAATAAATGAAAACATTACTACAAGTGAAATTAAGATCAGGTGTAGACCAGTCACTGCTAGGAGACTAAATTCTTTTAAAGATAAAGAAGCACAGCATTTATTCCATAAAGATATCGGAGTCAATAACGCTGATTGTTATAGATCAATGGTTGATTTTCTCATAACTTCCTATAATCATATTTTTAAACCCCGCACAATTGTTAAAAAATCAAAATTAAAATTTAGTGACTGGGCAACAGTGGGTGTATATAAAAGTAGGGATTCACGACCCTAACTTCCATAAACGGGTACAAAATTTTTCAAAAATATTTAAAAAATTCTGTATACATGCAAAATCTATCTACATAAAAATAGGATTTTAAATTCTAGTAATAAAATAAAAGCTACATGGGACATCATTACCTGTATATCTGGAAGACCCAAAATATTCAGGGAACCTATAAAGCTAGTGATAGGCAATACACCCATAACTCCAGATAACGAAATTGCAAGTAGTTTTGAAAGTTATTTTTCAGAAATTGCAATTAATGTATTAAAAATAATGTTACCTATTGTCGACAAACGTTTAAATTTAATCACATAGATACTAATGATATTATAAAAGTTTTGAATTCTATTAATCTTAAAAATACAGGAGATTTGTGGGGCATGTCCATAAAATTAATGAGTACAATAATGCCGTATATTGCACCATATTTGGCAAATATTTTTAACAAATGTATAGATTCTGGAATATTTCCAGATCTTATGAAATTCAGTCAGATAATCCCCGTTTTCAAAAGTGGGGTTATAAATGATCCAGGAAATTACAGACCTATCTCCATATTGCCATCTCTGAGTAAAATTTTTGAAAAACTAATTTTAAATCAACTCTTAGTACATTTTAATATGAACAAAATTTTCCACAATGAGCAATATGGATTCACTAAAGGCAGATCGACAACGGATGCGGGTGTCGCACTTGTCAAGCATATTTATAACGCCTGGGAAAGGTCACAAGATGCAATAGGTGTCTTTTGCGAGCTTTCAAAGGCTTTCGACTGTGTAGACCACGAAACCCTCCTTCAAAAGTTAGATTATTATGGCATTCGTGACATCGCCCTCAATCTCATTGCCTATTACCTTAGTAATAGAATTCAAAAAGTATCTATAAATGATGTAAATTCCGCAGGGTCCCCCAAGAAAATGGGTGTCCCACAAGGATCAATATTGGGTCCATTATTATTCTTAGTGTATATAAATGATCTCCCCTTTAATGCCAGTGAGTTATGTGATGTTGTACTGTTTGCTGACGACACATCGCTCATTTTTAAGGTTGACCGAAACGTGTCGGATTATGACGTCGTGAATAGTGCACTTTCGCGTATCCTCCACTGGTTTACCGTTAATAATATGGTGTTAAATGCTAAAAAAACTAAATGCCTTCTTTTTACCCTTCCCAGCGTAAGAAGGCGAAGTTTTTAGCTTAACATTAAATAGCGTATCCCTTAATCCTGTTGAGTCCGCTGTATTCTTGGGAATTACAGTGTAAAGATTAAAAAAATTGCCCTCTTTAGGATAACAATGGAGTCACGCGGACAAACCCCAGATCTACCTGTGGGTCAAATAGTTCTCTTGGGCGAACCCACACCCCCGGTTAAGCCTCCGCAACTGTTTTTGCAATTAAAGGTTATGGCAAAGCTCCAATATCCCCATCGACATCTCTTGCGAACAGGTTAAGCTCCGCTGTTTTTGCAATTAGGAAGGTTAGGCAACTATCAGACATCGACACTGCCAGACTTGTTTATTTCAGTTATTTCCACAGCATCTTGTTTTGTAGTGCATCTGATATAAATTCTATATTTATTCTTCAAAAAAGAGCCGTCCGAGCAATCTATAACATCGGAGCCCGGAATACACTCAGAGACCTTTTTAAAGAGATTAATATACTCACTGTTGCGTCTCAATATATTTATTGTAATATTTTGTATGTTAAACATAATATTAATAGTTATCTAAAGAATAGTGACAGACATAAACTAAATACTAGACATAAGGACAAACTAACTACGCCGTTGTTTCGTCTACAAAAAGTAAACAGGTCGTTCATGGGGCAAAGTGTGCGCATGTATAATAAAATCCCACAGTCGATATTAAGTCTGCCACTTGACGAATTTAAACGAAAAATTAAAAGTAAACTTATTGCTAAAGCCTGTTATTCTATTGCCGAATATCTTGACGACGGCAATGTGTGGGGTTAATACTGTTGATACTCACGTAGGCTAAAACAAGACTATTGTACCTGTACTATTATATTGTAAACCGATTTTTTTAAAAAGAGCAACTGTTGAGTTTCTTGCCGGTTTCTTCTCAACAGAAACTGCTTTCCGAACCGGTGGTAACTTACGAACGTGTTAATTTCTTGTAAAATTTTGTCGTTTCATAAGAACGCGCAAGCGTCTATGTGAATAAAGATATTTTATTATATTATTATTATTCAACTTAGGTACTTAAGGTAAGGTATCATAATTTCTCAACAACCAAAGAAAATATGAATGTTAATACATATGTTTTAAACAGTTTTTTGTACAGCCCTCGATTAATTTAAAGATATTTTTCCAAAAAGAATATTTTAATCATAATATCATTTTATGTAACAAAAATACGATAGGAATTATTTATATGTATATGTTACACAGTTATAGTATACGTTTAGGCGAGTTTAACTTCAATTTTTAATAACTGAAAGGGTTCAATTATTAATCTAAGTATTAAGTGCATTATTATTAACATAGGAATGTTTAACAAAACAATTGATAAAGAGAACTTTCGAATGAATACGCACAAGACTCAAATTCAAAATATCTTTATTGAAATAGATGCTTGCGCGTTCTTCTGAAACGTCACATTTACAAAAAAATTGATATATTATAAGGTCGTAAGTAAGTTGCCGTTGACACCGGTTAATCAAAATTAAAAATTCTAGGTCAACCGGAAGTACTCTATAGGTTTTGGATCGAAAATTCCCGTTGATCTAGAATCAAACAATTTGACAAAAAGCAAGGTCAAATAAAGGAAAAAATCCGAAAAATATTGAAATAAAAAAATTGAAAATTAAGGTAAATTATAATACTTATCTAAATTTGCACTATCTTTTCATCATGTTGACTCAGGACTGATTTTCATACACGTTATGGATAGTAATAGATTTTATAGACTATAGATCTCAGTATCTGGTGTAAAGGGTAGGTACGGAACCCTGGGCGTACGAGTTTGACCCGCTCTTGACCGATTTTTTAAAAAGATCCGTTTAAAATATAACAAAAATATAATAGTCTTATTTGAGCCTACGTGAGTATCAACAGAATTAATCCACACATTGGCATCGTAGAAATATTCCCCAATGGTATGTATAAAACTGTAAGAATTAAAAAAAACAAAGGTTGCACCTTATGTAGAATTTTTGTTTTTTTTGTCAGAAAAAGTTAAATCACAACTTTTAAAGTAAACATTACTTAGTTTTTCAAAAGAAAGCCGTTGTCGCAAACATAATTGGAACCTGTGATACATTTGGCCTTATCGCTGGAAAGGTACAGAGCAAGTTCAGCTATTTCGTCAGCTTCGCATAGTCTGTTATGAGCCGTCGCCTCAAAGGGATCGATCGGCGCCGTGATATTGTATTCGCAGAAATCGGTCCTCACCGGCCCTGTACTGATTATGTTCGCACGCACTCCGTACTCTGCCAGCTCCGTTGCAACAGCGCGCGTGAAGTGTTCGAGCGCTGCTTTTGATACAAAGTAGGAAAGGGCAATCGACGAATGCTTTGCCGAAACCGGCGCAACACTGGATATGTTTACAATGCTGCCTCTACTCCTGACCAGATACGGTGCTGCCAAGTTTGTTATGTGCACTACAGCTCGCAGATTCATATCGATCGTCTCGTCGTACGCCTCCATGAAATTGGCGTCGAATATACCGCCAGATTTACAAATAGCTGCGTTGTTCACTAACACGTCCAACCTCCCGAATACGTCCACGGTTCTCTGGACGAGATTCACGGCGTCTTCACGACGCGTGATGTCACTTTTGAGTTGGAGACACTTGCTACCGTATTTCTCGCACTGCTTTAACACGTTACTCAATTTCGTTTCATTCTCTCCAACTAATGCCACGAATGCTCCTTCTTTGGCGAATGCGACAGCTATGCTGGTACCAATGCTGGAGCTGTTGGTCACGAGCACAACTTTGCCAGCAAAACTCATTGTGGAGACTGGTGTAATATATACAAAGTCGCATGAAGAACTGATCGTATTCTTATATTTCAAATTCACATTGAACTACAAACAAACATTAGTCTATTCTTATCGGACCACGCTTAACCCAAGACGAATAAAGTATGTTATAGATAACAGATGTGTTTGCTGTCATATTTTGTTGCTTGTATATGTAACATGACTCATAAAATATAAAAAAATAAACTTATTGAACTTTTTTTGAAGTTCGTTTAAAATAATCATTTAGACCAGGAATTTATCCTGTAAGTTAACATGATATATATTTTAATTTTGATTTCAGTTTAACACACATGTTGTCTCATGTGTTTTATTAATCGCATTGGTATCGGTTAATGGACTCCAGAGATACATAGGGAACTCCTTAAAACTAAATATAAAATTTATAGTGTTATATTTGAATTCTGTTTTGTATTTTGTTTATGATAATGTCTTACTTGTTTAGTTTTTTATTAACATGCCGTTGTCTGATACAAAATTAGAACCTGTGATACCCTTCGCTTTATCGCTGGCTAGGTATACAATTAATTCTGCAATCTCTTCGGGGTCACTCACACGTTTTAAAGAAGTCGCCTCTGCCATTTGTTCCCACGTCCTTTGTTGCATCGAGGGGTGATTTATAATATCTGTTCGAACTGGCCCTGGACTAACTGTGTTGACCCTGACACCATAGCTGGATAGTTTCAGCGCAGAGCTCCGAGTAAAATGGTTGAGTCCAGCCTTCGACACACAGTACGGTATTATGTCGGGGGCACCGATTGTACCAAGGCCAGCCACGCTTGATATGTTAATGATGTTCCCTTTCGTCTTGATGAGGTGCGGTATAGCACGGTGGGTAATGTATACCACTCCGCGAAGATTCACGTTTATGATTCGGTCGTAGCCCTCCATGAAGTTCTCGCTCGTTATGTCGACGTTTTCGGCAATGCCCGCATTGTTGACCAATACGTCGATCCTTCCGAACATCTTTACGGTCTCGTCGATGATTTTTTTACCGTCTTCGTCCTTCGAAACGTCCGCTTTGATGACGAGCGGCTTCCAGCCGAGCTGTTCGCATTTTTCGCGTACAATTTTAAGTTTTGCCTCGTTCCTTCCCACTATGACGACATGGGCTCCCTCTTTAGCGAACTCAATTACGGTGGAAGCGCCGATTCCCGAACTGGAGCCGGTGACTAAAACGACTTTGCCTTTGAAGCTCATATTTCCACGAGGAAAGTTATCAACGACTGCTTACTTATGACACGATGTCTAAAAAAACGTTTATATATATGCATGTAGGCTATGATAAAGCCATACTTGTGGAGTCTATTTGAAGTCAATGGAGTGGTATAGCCACGTAATTATTTTAATGACAATGACTTTGAAATATTACTTGTAGGTAATAACAGATTCAAGAGTCTTTTGAAGATACTCTTAAGCGGTCATAACTGACACGCACTTGCTACTTATCTTGGAACATCTGTATTAAAAAAAAGCTAATTAACACAACTTAGTTCTAAAATAATCTGTTATACAATTTATTGAACAAAAGATATTTACATCTTGTCAGTAAACTAGTCAGCAGTCATTATTTTGGCATTTTTTTATCTAATATATAAAATTCTTGTGTCATGGTGTTTGTAATTAAAATCCTCCGAATCTGCTCGACCGATTTTCGTGAAATTTTGTGCGCATATCGGCCAGGGTGGAGAATCATATATTATATATAGAATCATATATATCAACATCTATTTTTCATCCCCCTAAATGTTAAGGGTGGTCCACCCCAAATATTTTTTTCTGCCCTACACATTCCTTAGAAACAATTTATACGGCAAGACAACGTTTGCCAGGTCAGCTAGTAATAACTAAACTTAGTTTTAATAGCGTTGTAATATAATTTGTAATTTATATTTGAAGTATTGTACTGATAAGTACAAGTTATTTAGAGCACAGGTCACTTTGTCCAGCCGACTCAAATATTGGTCGATTTTAGCAACATCCTTACTTGTTATACAATTCTCTTCATTTATATTGTTTAAATGATATGCATATTTTACATTGACCGACATTCGCCTATGAGCGCCTTAAAATTTAAATTTCATATTCTTAGAAAGATATATCTTTTAGATCGTTTCTTTTGTTCAAAAGACCTTTTATTGCACCACAGTACATTTTGTTGTACGATTAAAAAGCGTCAAAGTTAAAATAGTATCATTATTATAATTTTAAAAAGATGAATATGTACCGAAAATCTAAAGCGGGACTCTATTACTAAGTCTCTAATGTATGTCTGTCTGTCTGTCTGTCCGTCTGTCACCACGTTATCTCATGAACCGTGATAGCCGAACGATGACTCCGTGGCGCAGTGGTCCCATACAACCGACATGATTTTTTAACCATTTTTATAGATTAGGTATATATAGGTACGGAACCCTTCGTGGGCGAGTTCGACTCGCAGTACTTGATCGGATTTTTATCTTGTTAAAGCAGCTGTTTTTTTTTTTTTTTCAAATAATCTGCCTTTTATTCGAGGGCTTCTAACTTGATGGTGCCGTAGACTGCGGTTTCTTAATGTTTATTCCATGGTCTTAGTATTCTATTAGGTAGCTAAGAGTGTTAAACACTTATTGATATTCCTTACCTTTATAGGTCTGTATCACTGCGTAAGAAAATAAAAATTAATTAGTAAGTAAAGGCCCGTGAAAATGTTTTTATCTTCAAATAGCATTTCAATGATTATGACTCATCAAAATAATTATCCGATTATAAGTTACCACGTAGTATACCACATCAATTATACTTAATAGGCAACACATAAGTATGACTTCATCATGACCGGCAGGCATATAAATAGTGTCTAAGTAGACATTGTCTTATAATTCCTGATATGCCTCACAAGTAACAAAGCAGTCGTTAAGAAACTAACTCATGTATATATAAGTTTCAAAGATGAAGTGGTTTGGAGACTGGTTCCAATTCGGCCTCGGCGCCTCGACCAAGGGGGCCATCGAGTTCACCAATGGGGCTCACGTTGTCGTATTGTGTCGGACAAGAAATAGATCATGAGTGATAAGCAACACAGCCGCGTTCGACTTCGGGCTGCTCTATCAATTAACAACGTGTCCTGTAAAATGCCCTTAAGGCACAAATTATTATTATATAAGGCCTGCGTACGGCCTATTATGTCCTAAGCATGCATGACCTCCGCCCACACAAACCTACTCGCTTGCATATGTTCAGCAAATACTTCAAAATAAGTTCATCCGCCGCGCAACCGGAGCGCAGTGGTATGAACGCAACGTCCATTTGCATAGTGACTACATACTCCCGACGATTCGCAAACATTTCAAAGATCTTATTAAATGATTCTTCGATCTTACTACTGGTAGATCTTACCAATGGTTAGGGGTGCAAATTACTAACCCGTCATCAACGCGAACGTTAACAAGCGTAGTCCGCGAAACGTCCTCATCGACTCCAACAAAATTTAACAATTTATGGAGTCGGTGCCAACCTAAGTTTATACGATCTGAGCATAAAATCATTCTGTTAACTTTGTTGCTCAATTTTTTTTAAGATATATAATTAATTATATAATACTTTCTTTTAACCTGTTTATTAATACCGCATGCGATAACCGCAGCATTCATTGTTGCTAAGCTTCTTACAAGTTTTTTAGGAAGGTGTTATGGTGGGCAACCATTAACCGTGGTGAACAATGGCACCGACTCAAAAAATTGTTAAATTTTGCTAGAGGTTACTAGATTAGGTTATATTTTCAAGATTTGATTATATTAAATTTAAACTATTTAGTGCTACGCTAATACAGTTTTTTGAATTCGGTTGTTTTTTTTAATTATTGTTATTTTTTATTTTTAGTAATTTCATTTCAGTACTTACGTTTTGCTCTTAGGTGGAGGCCTCAGTCGCGCCGGGGCTTGCGGAAGGTTGTGTTTTCGTATTCCCGTGTCCCCGATAAAAGTGGTTTTTTTAGTCGGTACCCACGTGTCACTCGGAAACTCCCACATACTCCTGCTGCCTATATAGCTTTGTCGGGACCCTCACTTCTAATTTAGTACATTTGATCAGCCTGAGTTGAATCCCAAGAGTGTGGGAGATGATGATCCAATGAGAGAGAATCCCTAGATATACCTTATAAAAATATACATACATATATTTATGTGAAGCCTGCCCTTATACCCTCTACAGAGCAGGCATTTATCTAGCAATGAGCCAGGCATTTGATTCGAAGGCTTATAACTTGATGTTGACTAGACCACGGTTTGATGATTTTAACTAGATTTACTTACACTTAAGACTAGATTGCCAATAAAAACACTAAGACGTGTTGAAAACTTATTAATATTCCTTCCGTTTATAGGTCTTTAGCACTATCTATTGAATTAAAAATAGACAAAAGACCCTTGAAAATGGTTTTATCTTCAATTGTTCACGTTACCACATCATTTGTTTATAATAGACAACACATAAGTAGGTATGGGTTTATCATGACTTGCAAGTATATAAATAGTGTTTGAGTAAACATCGTCTTACAAGTCTTCTTAGGCCTCACAAGTAACAAAGCAGTCCTTAAGGAACTAACTCGTGTAATTATGAGTTTCAAAGATAGAGTTGTTATAGTGACCGGTTCCAGTTCGGGCATCGGTGCCTCCACAGCCATTGGATTTGCTAAAGAGGGGGCTCGGGTCGTCATAGTGGGACGGAACGGGACAAAACTCGAGGATATTCGTAAAAAATGCGAAAAGCACGGTAAAAAGCCACTTGTTCTTAAAGCAGACGTGTCGAAGGACGCCGACGGCAAGAGAATTGTCGACGAGACTGTTAAAAAGTTCGGAAGGATCGACGTCTTGATCAATAACGCTGGCATACTCGAAAAAGTGGACATTACAGGAGAAAATTTCATGGAGGGCTTCGACCGAATCATAAACGTCAATCTAAGATCGACGGTCTTCATAACCCACCGTGCTGTACCGTATCTCATAAAATCGAGAGGAAACATAATTAACGTATCAAGCGTGGCTGGCCTTAGTACCATCGGTGCCCCTGATTTCATTCCGTATTGCGTGTCGAAGGCTGGAATCAACCATTTTACACGGAGCTCTGCGCTGAAACTATCCGTTTATGGTATCAGGGTCAACACAGTAAGTCCGGGGCCAGTGAGAACAGACATTTTAAATAACCCCACGATGCAGCAAACTACTTGGGAACAAATCGCAGAAACAACAGCCTTAAAACGTGTAAGTGAGCCCGAAGAGATTGCAGATTTAATCATGTACTTAGCCAGTGATAAAGCGAAGGGCATCACAGGTTCAAATTTCGTAACAGACGATGGAATTCTAATTAAAAATTAAAAAACATTGCACATCACTCAAAATTCATATAATGTACTTAATTATTATTCCATGTATTACTACGGCTTTGTACTCCATTATGTCAGAAAGGATCGAGATAATATAATGTAGTTAACTATAACTTCAAATGGAGATTCAATTTCATCACTTCTTCTTTCTATGAATGGTATAATTAAAATAAAAGGACCGAACGTAGGATCGGTAGGATGGAACAAAGTAACATAGAAAAATGTGTTGAAGCAGTGAAAAAATGCGACCTTGAAGTAGTATTGAACAACTTAGCTATTTGTGACATCCGCAGCGTGTTTCACGCCCTTATAAGTTCAATAGAGTATCCAAAGGCGAGGAAATAGCTGAACATGTTTGTACCATTCTAGCAATAAAGAAATGCCACCACACATATTATCTAATAAACCTAATCGACGCGGCATGGTGCCAAGAACACTACCTGCATTTCCTCGCTAAATAGTTGTGCTTAACCTTTGAGCGAGAAAAGAACCAGCTCTCTTGTCACCAGCCGCGGCGTTAACCCTAAGGCATAAACCATTCAAAAATGTCGATGCACGGGGACCCCACGGACCCAAAGTTCCAACAGCAAGTGGCACAAATGCATAATCTAAAAATAGATAATAAATAAAATTATATATATTATGGATTTTTAAAATTTGAGATTTATCTGTTGAAGGTTATGAATGCAACTTCAAGTGACATGCGTGAAAACTATATAGTTACAAAATATTATATAAATACATTGTTTAAATATATACTTATTATAAACAAGCTGACCCGACAGACGTTGTCCTGTCTCAACGATGACTATTTAATTGGAATTGGTATAATTATTTAAAAAAAAGTGTGTTTATTATTCTAATGCTTTATGATGTACAATATTCTTGGTTTTTTTTCTTGCGTGTATATAAATAGTTAGATGGTATTCCGGCACGGGACCAGGCGACATATAACTGCTCATGTGAAAAACATGGAAACAATATCTGAAAGAAGTTAAATTAGAAATAATATTATATGGTTGTTAAGTATTCTTAAATAAGTATTCTTAAATTTTCTAATTTACCGCGCAATTTTTTTAAATTTGTTCTTTCATAAGAACCTTCTGATAATAACAAACACAACAAAAAAAAGTGAAAACGGGCCAGCCGTTCACGCGTGACGGCGTGGCCAAGGGAAATAGGGATTCATTTTTATATATATAGATAAACACAAAAAGTAGCATATAGTAGTATAAAGCAAAATAAAACTACTACTATACTATATACATCTACAACTACTACTATATACAGGTTGTCTGGTTATCCATAAAACCTTGAAATGGCCTATAATAGAACTTATGGCCATTCAGAAAAAAAAAATGCCAAAAAAATTTATAATAAGTAGTACTTACATAAGACAAGTATTAAAAAAAGCAATTATTTATTGCCTTAATGAATGAAATTCATTGGGTTATAGTTAATTTATTATACACTAACTATTCTTATAGATAGATAATTAACAGTAAAACTAGTTATTGTACTTTTTTTAAAGAAATATGCAAGTTCATTTATTTTGGAAAATGAACATAATTAATTTTTTAAACACATTTTAGACATCTTGGGTAAAAAAAATGTATGAATACATGAGAGACCTATAATTTTAAAGTAATATCAGTCTCAAGTCGATTTGATAATGTTGCAATACATAATTGTATCTGCCTTAAATAGTGAATTATTGCTATTGATGTAGAAAAAGAGAAAAAAATACTGAAGTAAAAAAATGTAACATGGGAACTGTTTTTTTAATTCAGTTATAACCCTAACATACATTAAGGGTTAATAAAAACAACATTTAACATTAAGAATACTTTATTTTACACTCATTTACAGCTTGATGCCCCTTTTTATGATAAAGATTTATACAGGTATAAAGCACTGACTAAAATATATATGACGGTAAATAAATCAAACAGTGTTGTGTTGTCAATTTATATTCATATAATTATAATATTTTGTAAAAATTTAGCTTTCACGCTTGTCACTTGACGATGTATTCATAAACTTTATCAGATAAACCTCAAAGTTTGAAAATCAACGATTTATAGGTATATATACTTTTTTCTCTTTTTTATTCTCCATGTTTAGATTATGTTGTATTTGTGGCATTTGCTGTTAAAACTTAAGGTCCGAGGGTTCCTCGTGCATCGAAATTTTTGAAAGGTTTATGTCCTAAGATTAACGCCGCGGTTGGTGACAAGAGAGCTGGTTCTTTTCTCGCTCAAAGGTTAAGCATAACTATTCAGCGAAGAAATGCAGCTAGCGTTCTTGGCACCATGCCGCTTGGGTTAGGTTAGCGTTAACGTTGACATTATCGGGACTGGTGGTTTTTTTTTATCTTTATCACTAAAATGGTACCGAACATGTTCAGCTATTTCCTCGCCTTTGGATAGTCTGTTGAACCTGTTGGGCGTGAAACACGCTGCGGATGTCACAAATAGCTAACTTGTTCAATAATACGTCAACGCTCAGAGTTCGATAAACGCATTTACGTTGTCGTACGTCAGACACTGGTTGTCGTATTTTTTCACTAATTCAACACATTTTTCTGTGTCACCTCGTTCCCTCATACCATATGTCCGGTTCTTTTATTTTAATTATATCATTTATCATCAGAAAAAGGAAGTGATAAAATGTTTCCATTTGAAGTTATATTTAACTACCCAATATTATCCCGATCCCATCTGACATAAAGGAGTTTAAAACTTTTAAACACGAGTTACAGATATTTGTTGAGCTTGAATAGACGTGAGCTAGTATTACATGGAATCACAATTAAGTAAATTATATGAACTTTGAGTGATGTGTGATTTATTTTAGTTCTTAATTAGAATTCCATTATCTGCTACGAAATTTGAACCTGTGATTCCCTTCGCTTTATCACCGGCTAAGTACATGATTAAATCTGCCATCTCTTCGGGCTCGCTTACACGTTTTAAAGTTGTTGTTTCTGCGATTTGTTCCCAAGTAGTTTGCTGCATTGAGGGGTTATTTATAATGTCTGTTTTCACTGGCCCCGGACTTACTGTGTTGACCCTGATACCATAACTGCTCAGTTTCTGCGCAGAGCTCCGGGTAAAGTAGTTGATTCCAGCCTTCGACACACCATACGCAATGTAATCTGGGCCACCTATGGTACTAAGGCCAGCGACGCTTGATACGTTAACTATGTTTCCTTTCGATTTTATGAGATGTGGTATAGCACGGTGGGTTATTAAGACCGTCGATCTTAGATTGACGTTTATGATTCGGTCGTAGACTTCCATGAAATTTTCTCCTGTAATGTCCACTTTTTCGAGGATACCGGCGTTGTTGATCAAAACGTCCATCCTTCCGAACTTTTTTACAGTCTCTTCGACAATTCTCTTGGCGTCGGAGTCTATTGAAACATCTGCTTTAAGGACAAGTGGCTTTTTGCCGTACTTTTCGCACTTTTTACGCACGTCCTCAAGCTTTACCTCGTTCCGTCCCACTATGACGACGCGAGCACCCTCTTTAGCAAATCCAATGGCTGTGGAGGCACCGATGCCCGAACTGGAACCGGTCACTATAACAACTCTATCTTTGAAACTCATAATTACACGAGTTAGTTCCTTAAGGACTGCTTTGTTACTTGTGAGGCCTAAGAAGACTTGTAAGACGATGTTTACTCAAACACTATTTATATACCTGCCATTCATGATAAACCCATACCGTATTATAAATAAACAACGTGTTAAATTCGCATAATTGTTTTGATGCTGTATGACATTGAAATGCTATTTGAAGATAAAAAAATTTCAAGGGCCTTATGTTAACAGGTCTTTACCATTGGAACAAAACAAGTCCATATTAAATGAAACTAGTTTACGGATTTTATCGGGTTTTTATTTTGATTTGAACTCATGACGTTTCGAACCCTTTGCAGTGTTTATGGTCACGGGACAGAATAAGTTGTTATACGTCTTGATGTCATAGTTAACCCCGGCTACCGTCAATTGTTTTGTTTATTTTTATTCCGATCCACGCAGGAGCTTATGTTATCTTGAGGTCTGGCAGTGTTGGTGTGCTTGGATTTAATTTTATAAATTATGGGATCCCAAGCAGATGACAAACTCCAACCATCTTCTCTTTTGAAATTAGGATGTTTCTTTCTTTAAATAGGCTCGCGGATCCTTGGAAGGAATCGGTGTTCTTTTGCGAGGATTTTCGGTTGATCAAATCTAATGTAGTGGTTGGGGTGGTCAAAATATGATCACAGCCTGCAGACTTCGAAAAGAAAAGAAGTCCATTTTTTTATTAACGAAAAACAAAACTGACTTTAAATATCATCTCTCCGTATACATTTTATAATTTATTTTCAGGAGCCCAAGATCCAATACCAATGAAATTGATATGGGACCACGTGGGCAGCACCAGCTTTCAAATAAAAAAAGAATCATCAAAGTCGGTTCTCCCAGTCGAAAGTTCTGAGGTAACAAATAAAAAAAAAAAAATACAGTCGAATTGAGAACCTCCTCCTTTTGAAGTCGGTTGTAAAAAGAATAATTTTCACCCTTATCATGTCACACGCGTTCAAACTCTCCAACCAAGGGATTATGCAAGTAGATTGCGTTTTTTCCGACAAATGAAATAAATATAATAAATAATAATAATAATAAATATTTTAGGACACATTTTTACACAACATTCTCTAGTCCCAAACTAAGCAAAGCTTGTACTATGGGTACTAGAAAACTGATAAACATACATAAACATACTTTTCTTTTGTAAATAAATACATATTATACATATATTAACACCCAAACACTAGAAAAATACTATGTTCATCACACAACATTTATCTAGTAGTGGGGATCGAACCCACACCCTCTGGCGCAGGAGGCAGGTACACTACCCACAACGCCATTCGGGTCGTCGGTCAAATGCAGCATGACTCTCAACTGTGGTAGGACCACGCAACAGTATTCAATGTTGCACGAATGGGCAGGTCCGTCCGGGTTAGTACCACGACCTCACAGAAGACCGGCGTAAAGTAGAAGTGTTATACTTCTGCGTTTCGTCTGCTGAGTGAGGTAGCCGGGGCCCACATTATTAAAACGCAACACATCTGCAATCGGTGTTGCAAATGTCCGTGGGCGGCTGTTATCAATTAAAGTCAGGTTAACCGCCAGCTCATTCGCCACTTTCTTACATAAAAAAATACTTCGCGGACTCATCGTACAAGGTGGTGTACAAAACCGTTAAAAAATTGCGAAGATAACTGATGTGTTTTGTTTGATTTATATTCTGTTTACATAGATACAACTTTGGCCAATATTAAAAGCAAAAAATATGAATGAAACACAGCGAAAGAAAGCATTCTTTAAATAGATGTCGCTGAATGAAAACACTTGTATATGCGATGTATCAATTTATTTATTTACTATCATGTTTACTGTGGTTACATTTTTCTGTTGTAGGGCCAAGCATCAGCTTCTACTGCTGCACGAATGGGCAGGCTCGTCCGAGGAAGTAACACGATCTCACAGAAGACCGGCGTGAAGTGGAAGTATAATACTTTCAGTTTTCTTCTGGTCAGTGAGAGGGAACTGGGGCCCAATTTATAAAAGGTTGTCAACGCCACAACGCAACAAACCCTCGGGTGTTGCAGATGTCCATGGACGGCGGTAATCACTTAACACCAGGGAACCACCTGCTCGCTTGATAAGTTTTCAAATTAAAAAAAAAAAAAAACACCAAAGCACTTGGAAAGCATTTTTTATTTCATAATTGTCATACCGTTGTCTGATACGAAATCGGAACCTTGTGATGCCTCTCGCTTTGTCACTTGCCAAGAATAAGATCAATTCAGCGATTTCCACTGGGTCACTCACACGTTTTAAAGGGGTCAATTCGGCGTATAGCTCCCATGTTACAGATCCCATGGTAGGATGATTAAAAATGTTTGTCCTGACCGGGCCTGGACTGACGGTGTTAACCCGGACACCGCAGCCGGCTAGTTTAAGCGCAGCGCACCGGGTGAAATGGTTAAGGCCCGCCTTCGACACATTGTACGGGATGACATCAGAGGAAGCAATGGTAGCAGCCACGCTAGATATGTTAATGATATTCCCTTTCGATTTGATTAGGTGCGGTATAGCTTGATGGGTTATGTACACCACTCCACGCAGATTCACATTAACGACACGGTCGTAGCCCTCCATAAAGTTTTCACTGGTAATATCAACTATTTCAGTAACCCCCGCGTTGTTGACTAAAACGTCGATCCTTCCGAACTTCCTTATTGTCTCATCGACGATTCTCTTGCCGTCGACGTCCTTCGACACGTCCGCTTTAAGCACGAGTTGTTCTTTGCCATATTTTTCGCATTTTTCACGTACGTCCTTTAGCTTTGTCTCGTTCCTCCCCACTATGACGACGTGAGCCCCCTCTTTAGCGAATTCGATGGCGGCGGAGGCGCCGATGCCCGAACTGGAACCGGTCACTAAAACAACCTTATCTATGAAACTCATGTCTCCACGAATACTTTCTTTTCTCCACGGCTGCTTGCGTATATCTAAGTCTTATCTCCCAAGAAGCACCTATTTATACACAGTCCGTCAGATAAAACCATGAAAATATACCATAGTTATCATGAGTGAGGGAAGCCTTTTTATTCTGTGCTGCTTGCTCGATTGCCTGCTTCTCTATAAAAAGGTCAAGGCATGACAATTACTCATAAAACTTTGTTTTTTTTTTGCACCTTAATTTTAGGTGACTCCTTGCTTATATGAGTATAAAGCCCATAGAAAAGAATATTTTATTAAATGTGTTATGTTGAATTTTTAAATGTCATTAGTATTTGTCGTGATTTTTATGATTCATTTAAAATCATGCGGTACACTTTACTGTCAAAAAAATTTCTGCGTGAATATAGTGGTAGATTTTGATTAAATCGCTTTGTGTTGATAATGATGTATAATGAAAACAATAAGAGATCTTTCTAGAAAACAGAAACTGTACACGTTAAGTTAAAAATTTTCAGTTGTTCTTAAGAACAATTTTATTTATAGTTTGGAAGTCCTTAACGAGAAATAGATAAAAATGTAATTAAAAAGTACATCAAATATGTATTCACCTACAGGCGATATCTTTCGATACTGTGCGATATTGACGCTCTACCGCTATTTAATATGATTTGATTAATCGTATCAAGGCTTGTCAAAAAAGATAACAGACATTCGTTCCTCATTTAGGTATAATGTTATATTTTATTAAATAAATTAGAAAGCAGTTCTGAAAGTAAGGAGTATTATGAATGAGTATTTAGAATGCCCGAATTAGTTTCACTGTGTTCGTAGGCGAGGACTGGTTAACTGATTAGACATGTATGCTAGAGCTACGTGTGGGATTCATGTTGTTTGGCGGCAGTGGCGTGCTCATAGATTTCAGATGCACTAAAAAACTTACCAATTTACCCTTGGATAAGTGGCGTTTGAAAAGGTCGTGAGATGTTAGGGATGTTTTCTTTGTGAAAATTTATTAAAATTTAAAATACAATTTTATGTTATTTACGTATTATGAACAGATTACTTGAGTAATAATTTCTAAACTATTTAATGTTTATAAATAGAAACGGCAAAGGAAGCCAAAGTATCCACGCAAGTAGATTCCCACACGAAATCTTTGCCTCTTTCTGTCTCACCCTGAAAAATGCCATTGGACTCTAATATTATTTCCCCTTCAAGCCTGTCTCCTAAATAACTATGGTAGTTCCCCAGATCACAGAAGCTACTGCGTGGTCCTTGGCCTTACAAAAGTTATTAATTTGTTTTTTGAACATTAAAAAATAGTTATGTTTACACCCACAATCATAAGATTAAGGTTCTAATTTAACACGAATAATTCACATTTTTATGAAAATAGATTTTATAATGTTGCCTACATGCGTATATTGCATGCATTTTTGTATGAGAATAAATAGCCTTCTGCAGTACATTTGATGTTCACCTGACCTTTGGGGTGATAGATGCGTTAACAACTTTCAAGGAATTTAACCCCTTTTTAACCCACTTCTGTTAGGACTTATAACTTCCATTTCACATCGGTCTCCTGTGAGATCGTGGTAGGTACTTCCCTGGACAAGCCTGGCCATTTGTGCAACGGCGGATAGTGCTAAATAATTATGGTAAAGTGGCAATAAATTGAGAATTTTTCAATATTTTAGAATTTGCAATACCTTTATTTAGATTATCACGGACTTGTTTACAGGATGAAAACAATATGGTAAAATTATAGAAGATATCTCTAAATAAAACCTCATGTAATAAATTAAATAATACAATTTTTTTACTCACAAATATAAACACAATTTATTGGAATGTGATTTTCCTATTTTGTTATCACCATACCATTGTCCGATACGAAATCCGAACCGGTGATTCCTCTCGATTTGTCACTTGCCAGGAACAAGATCAGATCTGCGATTTCCACGGGGTCGCTTACACGTTTTAAGGCAGTCCTTTCGGCGAATTTTTCCCACGTCACAGACCCCATGGTGGGGTGATTAATAATGTCTGTGCGGACAGGTCCTGGGCTGACGGTGTTGACTCTGACTACTGATGCCGTAACCAGCTAGTTTCAGCGCCGCGCACCGGGTGAAATGGTTCAGGCCAGCTTTCGACACACTATACGGGATTCCGTCTGGGGAGCCAAGGGTAAATAGTACCAGCCACGCTAGATATGTTAATGATATTCCCTTTCGATTTTATTAGGTGCGGTATAGCTAGATGGGTTATGTACACCACTCCACGCAGATTCACGTTGACGATGCGGTCGTAGACCTCAATAAAGTTTTCACACGTAATGTCAACTCTTTCAGCGGCCCCCGCGTTGTTGACTAAAACATCGATCCTTCCGAACTTCCTTATTGTCTCATCGACGGTTCTCTTGCCGTCGGCGTCCTTCGACATGTCCGCTTTAAGCACGAGTGGTTTTTTGCCGTATTTTTCGCATCGTACACGAACGTCATTTAGCTTTGTCTCGTTCCTCCCCACTATGACGACGTGAGCCCCCTCCTTATTGAACTCGATGAACTCGAGCCAGTGACTAAAACAACTTTATCTTCGAAACTCATGTTTCCACGAATACGTTATGTTTTCACCGACCGCTGTAGTTTATCTACGTCGCCATATCTCGCTAGAAGCACTTATTTATACACTAATCAGGAACGATAAAACCAAAGAAATAAACGTTATCACGAGGTCACGAAGCCATTTTTTTATACTTTGACCCCTTACACTTCTGACTTGACTGATCACTTCCCCGCTTCTTCATTAAAAAATGAAGGTGGCAATCCTAGAACATGGCAGTAACTTAGAAGGCTTTAGAAATGTTGTTTTTTCACTTGAAAGTTTGGTAAGTCGTTACTTATCAGCGTAAGGCATAATTTGACAAAGGACAATGGTCAGAGCAATGCGTTTGTTGAATCACTTAAAAATTAAATACGGTACTTGATTGCAAAAAAGGTTGCATACGAAATATGTGTTTGGTTTTTTGTTTAAACGCGTTTCGTTGGCGAGCGTTCACTAATAACCTGAGGTGACTTTGGCGATTCTTCGACGCAAAAGGGGACTCTCGCCTTTATGAAATATCGTGAGATTTTTCCCGAAACCCCTCCCCCTCAATTAGTCTCACGTGAGATTTCTCAAATGCATCATCATAATTATCAACATGACATAAATTACCATAATTTTATCATCATCATTTTAGCCTGTTTTAGTCCACTGATTTCAATTTCAGGGTACTGCGCTTTTTTGGGGGTTCGCATAACCAAAATAAACATATGAATTATTTAGGCATATTTCAGCAGATTTTTTTTTAAATTAAATCCTCATTTTTTTACAATTCTACATAAAAAATTACGTGGTATTTTTTTAGATCCCCCTCTTCCCCATATAAGCTTCGGTGCGTGCCTTGCGCTTTGTTATTTGACATAGACATAGACATAGACATAAACTTTATTTTGACAAGCAACAAACAGCACAAAAAATTCAAAAAATAAATGACATGAACATAACATATTGATAAATAAAAACATAACATCGTTTTAACAAAAAAAGCAAGTTAAAAAAAGGAAAAAAAAATAAGTACACAAAGTTACAAATATAAAAATTATTAATAAAGAAACAAAAAAGACATATAGAAACCTTTGAAGGAAAAAAATGCATAGTGTATATGTAATAAGAGGAATGAATTGTGCTGTGAGTTTATGTCAAAAATGGTCTCCACTCAGCAAAAAATACGGAGAGTTCCGCAATGCTGGTATTCTGTGGAGCCATTTCGATGCTAGGAATGTGAGGAAGGTGCGGGTAGATGCGCAAACTTGTGAAAATATTACCAGAATAAAAAAAAACTAAAAATTAAATAATAATAAAAAATAAATTGTTCAACACTGTTAGAAATTCTGGCAAATATTTAACAACAGAAAGAAAGCAATGCAAGTAAAAATTATTAGCAATAATATTGATTAAAAAAAAAAGACAAACAAACAAAAGGACTTTATATACACATAAATACAACTATATTAGTGCCACGGGGGCTATTAGGGACGCATTAAACATTTTGCGTTAAGTATGTGGGCAATACTCGTCTAGAAGCTGGTAAGCATTTTTGGAAAGACAAAAGATGTTGTTTCAATTTGAATTTAAAATTACTTAAATTTTTTATAACCCTTATAGGCGGTTGTATATTGTTCCAGCATTTAGACGCGGCGTACTTAAAAACTTCCTCTGAAAGAAGCTGAGCGGTGTTTTGGGATCCTAAGTATCATCTTTTTAGTTGCTATAAATCGATCAGTTGACAGCCAATCAAGTTTTTGAAAAAGGTACTTAGGTCGGCCAGTTTTGATAATCCCAAATAATAGGGTTGCCAAATGAAGTTCCCTACGCAAAGTCATTTTAAGTACATTAAAATTATTTATGTAAGGAGTGACGTATGTACGTGGTGGAATTTTAAAGCAAAAGCGCGCACATGCATTCTGAACTCGCTGAATAAGTCGTTCTGTACCCGCTAATATTCGAGGGCCGTATACAGTATCAGCATAGTTTAGTCTAGACAATATGAGGGAATCGCACAGTTTAACACGTAGGCTGACACTAAGGTAATCACGTATGCGATAAAGAACTTTTAATCTATAAAAACAGTTATGTACAAAATCAAGTACGTTGTTGTTCAAGTATTTGAATTATATTTAGATTATCACTCGCATAACCAAAATAAACATAATTATAAATTATTTAGGCATATTTCAGCAGAAAAATATTTTTACTTAAATCCTCATTGGTTTTGCAATTCTACATAAAAAATTACGTGGTATTTTTTTAGATCCCCCTCTTCCCCATATGAGCTTCGGCTCGTGCCTTGCGCTTTGTAATTCGAATTATATTTAGATTATCACTTACTTGTTTACTGATACAAAAATATAGTAAAATTGTAAAATTATCATTCACAGGAGTTATATTTCACAAAAATTGACCGCTGAGTTTCTTTCGGCGGTACTTCTTAGATCAGTGGCTTTTTTTCGAACCGGTAGTAGTGTTTTTTGACAATTAATAAGCAAGTGTAATGCTTCTATATTGAATAAAGATACTCAAATTTGAATTTGAAACTAATTAAATGGAAGTACTTTTTATTTACATGAACGTCTAAGTCGTTTGTTATATAAGACGACAATAGTTCAATCTGCAATCTGGGTTTTTGATATTTTTTGTTTAACTACATAGTAGAAAGAATGTTGAGGTTTTAGCATTCACTATTTACGTTATAAAAACGCAAAATGCCTTTAAAAGTATGATTTGATTTGGAAAACACTGTTTTGAAATTTCATAAATATCTACATCACCTGAGGTATTGGAAATGGGTTACTAAGTACATGTCACGTGATAGTATTGTCCTCAACGCCTTAGAATAATATTTATCCTGTGTTGTAAGGACGTTTTTACTAACATAAATTTCACATGGACAAATACCCAGATGCGAAACAAATATCGGTGGATCACATAAATAGTTGTCCCGTGTGGGGATCGAACCCACGACCCTCGACGCCGAAGCTACCTAGGCAACTACGCCACGGTGTCATCAGTCATACTTCAATTAATTCACACATTCGTGTTACATCGTAAACTTTTGTGTGGCCCTACCACAAGGCAGTTTTTTAAATGATGCTTACACTAATATTCGGAAAATAGTAACATATCGTGTTCTTATATGGAAACAAAATTCTCACGACAAATACACGGTTTTGATCGTTGTCATTTTTTTAAATGCGACAAAATTTGTACCAACCTGTTAATGGAACAGACACGAAATATTCCGTGTCTGTTATATTAACATAATTCAGATAAGGAACAACTAATCGAGTTGGAAAAGTGACATGATGTGGGCAAGCAAGCAAGCAGCCGACCACAGATAGTAATTGTTTACAGTGTATTTATAGCTCTGTCGTTGCTGATTTGTGTATAAATAGGTGCTTGTTGAGAGATGAGGCGATAGATGTATCAACGCAGTCGGTGAGAACGTATTCGTGGAAATATGAGTTTTAAAGATAAAGTTGTTGTAGTGACCGGTTCCAGTTCAGGCATCGGCGCATCCACTGTCATCGAGTTCGCTAAAGAGGGGGCTCACGTCGTCATAGTGGGAAGGAACGAGACTAAGCTTGACGATGTATGTAAAAAATGCGAAAAGTACGGCAAGAAGCCTCTTGTCATTAAAGCGGACGTATCAAAGGACGCTGACGGCAAGAAAATCGTGGACGAAACTATAGAGAAGTTTGGAAGGATCGACGTGTTGGTCAACAATGCTGGGATAAGTGAACTAGTTGACATTACCAGTGAAAACTTTATGGAAGGCTACGACCGCATCATTAACGTGAATCTGCGTGGAGTGGTGTACATAACCCATCAAGCTATACCGCACCTAATCAAATCGAAAGGGAATATCATTAACATATCTAGTGTGGCTGGTGTTAATACCGTTGGAATACCTGATTTCATAGCGTACGGTATGTCAAAGGCAGGCCTTAATCATTTCACCCGGTGCGTTGCACTGAAACTAGCCAGATACGGTGTCAGGGTTAACACCATCAGTCCAGGGCCAGTTCGGACAGACATTATTAATCATCCCACCATGGAATCTGTTACGTGGGAAAAATTAGGCGAAATGACTGCCTTGAAACGTGTAAGTGACCCTGTAGAAATAGCAGATTTGATCTTATTCTTATCAAGTGACAAAGCAAGAGGCATCACAGGTTCCAGTTTTATATCGGACAACGGTGCAATGATCACAAACTAGTATACTTTTATTTCAGTGCTTTTCGTGTCTATGTTAAATAAATAAATCAATGCGTTGCATTTACATGTGCTTTCATTTAGACGTATCTGTTTACCCTATTGTTTTCTTTCTTTTTGTACAATTATATTAAATTTCCGTTAAATATGTTTTTACTGTATTGTCCTCAGCTTGTGAACAGGTAAGTGAGAATTTAAAAATATTTGCTTTTCTAATTTGTCAACAAGTATACAACTTTCGCTGTTGTACTAATGGATAGATTCGTCCGGCCAAGTATCAAGACAACACAGAAGACAGACGTGAAATGGAAGTGTTATTATACTATATCTATCTATATTTCGTCTGGTGAGTGCAGTAGGCGGGGCGCACTATATTATAAGGCGGCAACGCATCTGCAATCATACGAGTGTGAGAGAGAATGTCCATGGTTATCACTTAACATCAGGTAAACTGCCAGCTTGTTTACCACCTTTAAAATGAATAAAAAGGTCGTACCGCGGACGAGCCTGCTCATTCATGCAATGTACGAATAACATAATAGATAATAGATACAAAAGTATCTTTAACAAAATTTTAACGAGTCTGTGGCACTGTTGACAAGGAATGGGATTCGGCGTCGGGGGTTGTGGGTTCAGTTCCCACACGGGACGGCTATTTGTGTGAACCACAGATATTTGGTTCGCATCTGGGTGTTTGTCCACGTGAAATTAATGTTTGTAAAACGTCCTTACAACACGGGATAATGTTATTCTAAAGTACGGGCATTGTTTAAAAAAAATGAAGAATCGTAAGAACAATAAATTACTTACTTCGGCTAAATTCGGATTTAGGTCTAAAAATTAATTAAAGACGCAATTCAGGAATTATTACACCTTCATTGTTACTAGCCTTGATAGTAAAAAAAAAAACTATTCCAATTTTTTACATTACCAAAGCATTCGACGCTGTTTCTACCCCGATATTATAGCTTATGCATCCTTGATGTGTGTCAAAAACAAAATAAATATAAGACATCTAGATTTTTGGAAGGTGAAGATATCGGTCGCTTAACTTAGATAATGAAACGATCTGGAAGGCGCAGGTTTGAATCTTGAATCAATTAAAATTTATAAATAATCTTTCACATAAATTAAATGAAATTAAAAAACAAGGAAAGATATCATTAGTTCAATTAGATATGTAAATGAAATGACGTCAATTTGTTGTACATTCAATTCTTTATTTTGTTCACATATAAAAAAACAAGATAACTGCAAACCAATTTTTCTAGTGTATGATCATCATACCGTTGTCCGATACGTAATTGGATCCTGTGATGCCCCTTGCTTTGTCACTTGCCAGGTATAAGATCAGATCAGCGATTTCCACGGGGTCACTTATACGTTTCAAAGCGGTCATTTCATCGATTTGTTTCGACATAACAGGCTCCATAGATGGGTTATTACCAATGTCTGTCCGGACCGGACCCGGACTGATGGTGTTAACCCGGACTCCGTAGCTGGCTAGTTTAAGCGCAGCGCACCGGGTGAAATGGTTAAGGCCCGCCTTCGACACATTGTACGCTATAAAATCAGGTACACCAACGGTATTAGTACCAGCCACACTAGATATGTTAATGATATTCCCTTTCGATTTGATTAGGTGCGGTATAGCTAGATGAGTTATGTACACCACTCCACGCAGATTAACGTTGATGATGCGATCGTAGCCCTCCATAAAGTTTTCACTGGTAATGTCAACTGTTTCGCAAATCCCAGCATTGTTGACTAACACGTCGATCCTTCCGAACTTCTCTATAGTTTCTTTGACAATTTTCTTGCCGTCGGCCTCTTTCGATACGTCCGCTTTAATGACAAGTGGCTTCTTAACGTACTTTTCGATTTTTTCACGTACATTCTCGAGCTTACTCTCGTTCCTTCCCACTATGACGACGTGAGCCCCGTCTTTAGCGAACTCGATGGCGGTGGAGGCACCGATACCCGAGCTGGAACCGGTCACTATAACCACTTTATCTTTGAAACTCATGTTTCCTCAAATGAATTCCCACCGGCTAGGTTAGTATATCTAAATCGCCTTATCAAAAATCACCTTTTTATACACAAAATCAGCAACGATAATGAGTCATGCTAGTTATGAGTGGACGATACCGTGTACTGTACTTTGAACACTTGTTATCTGTGTTAGGATCTTTGCTTTCCATGACAGAAGTCGAGGTGTATAATGTAAAAAGTTAAATGTTATTTTTTGTTACCTTAAACTTAGATAAGCTGTTCCTTATCTGTTACGTTAATTCGTTGTATGTTTACTTAAAACAATATATTTTTTTATCCCATTTCCGGTAATGGACGGAATGTACTTTGACGAACGAAACATATAAATTTTAACGGTGGTAGGGCCACGCAGCAGCCTCGGCTGTTGCACGAATGGGCAGGCTCGTCCGGGTAAGTAAATACCACGACCTCACAGAAGACCGGCGTAAAGTGGAAGTATGACAAACACTTTCGTACTTCTTTAATATTCTACAGAGTACTATTGCTCCATTATATTAATCACATTTATCTTATGAAACATGTTTGAAAATGTGTTAAAAAATCCTTTCCTCATAATTTTAAACGGCATACTGTAATATACTTTCGATGTTTATTTGGATAATGTAAAGGCCATTGACATTCGCGTGATGCAATTAAAATAAATTTAAAACGATAAAGACATATCAGTAATGAATTAATTCATTAGTAGAATTCTCCGTTCGCTTATAGTTTTCGAGACAAAAGTATTTGAAATTTCTTATTTTCACTAAGAAAGTCCGCCATTTTATTAATTTGACTTCAAAAATTCAATACACGGCTCTGACTAGAAATGGTCGATTGTTCGATTTTTCGCCTTAGCCTTCGTGGTTATTTTCTTTATGACCACCCAGAAATAGGAGGAGAATTGACATATTGACAACAAAATGGCGGATTTCTATAGTGAAATTAAGAAGAAGAAGAAGAAGAAACGTTTATTCACGGTCTAAGCACAAATAGATACATAGAACACTTAAAAATAATAATGTAACTACACATTATATAAAATAATATTAGAATAACTTAAAATAAATGTAAACATAACAAAAAAACTAAAAATAACAAAAAAAAAACTAAAATAATAATAATAATAAGTGAAGGTCTGTGTAGCAGCATAAGACCGTGAAACGGACGGGACTCGGTTAAAGTCGAGATACAGTAACTAAGATTCGTTCTGATCCCGACGCCGGTTTTCAGTCCGCCCGCACTTCGAGACAGCTCGGACGGCTGCGTCAGTGCACTTGTAATACATACCTACAACGCAGTATAGCGATAATTAAATTATTTTTGTTTGAACCTTTCAATTATATAGACAGTGGATATCATTTGTCTGAAGAGGTAAGTAAAAAATTAGAACTAATGTTATCTTATTTGATATTGGTGTCAGCTGCTTTATTTCCATTTTGGTTTTAGGTTACCAATATTTATCCCTACTCTGTGGCACTGTGACATTTACCGATCGAGCAGTGGACACGTGACTTAATTTGAAACGTAAAACGCGAGACAGACCTCGTTGCGCGTTGGCCACATGATAAAGGTAAGAAAATGAGTGTCTTATAAGTATATAAATTATATGATATATGTTTATAAAAAAAATATAATGTATATATATTATATTAAATTATATTGTATCAAATCATATTACATTGTATTTTATTATATTATATTATAGCGTATAATTAAGCTGATAAGAATTAGAATTAAACGGCAGCATTTTTTTGTTCTAGAAGTAGATACAATTTGTACTTGTTTTTAAAACCAGTTATTGTTTTCAGGTCGCGCAAGGGAGGCGGGAGGTTGTTCCAGCACTTAGTGGCATTGTATTTGAAACTGCCTCTAAAAGCGGCCGAACGGTAGAAGGGATACACTAATTTATAATTAGATGATCTCGTATTATACATCTCATTTTGATCTTTAGCCCAAATCAACTTATTGTAAAGATATAACGGCTCTTTGTTTCTAATAGTTCCAAATAAAAGTGAGGCGAAGTGTAGTCGTCTGCGGAGGTCCATCTTTAGGATATTTGCGTTATTGATAAAAGGCGTTACATGTGCACGTGGAGGTATATTAAAACAGAAACGTGCACAGGCGTTCTGTACCCTTTGTATTATTTGCCTTGTTCGTGATAACAGACGTGGGCCTAAGAGGGAATCCGCGTAATTGAATTTTGAAAGAACGAGAGATTCGCATAGATTGATACGTAAGGAAACACTTAGGTAATCACGAATACGATAGAGTACTTTCAACCTGTAAAAGCAGTTACGTGCAATACCCATAATATGCTTCTCAAAACGCAGCTTGTCGTCCATTATTACCCCCAAATTTCTGACTTCCGCCACTCTTACAATGGATTCGTTGTTTACGGTAATGGCAGGGTGACTTAGTATGATCTTTTTTATTTGATTTGGCGATCCTAGAATCATATACTGAGATTTCTTCGGATTGAGAACTAGTGCATTACGCTCTGACCACAAAGATATCCGACTTAAGTCCAAATTTAACTTTGCTACAGCTGAGTGAACATCACGAGGCTTAAATGAAATATATATCTGTAAATCGTCAGCGTACATGTGATACTTACAAAACTCAATATTTTTAATAAGATCTGCACTATATATTATAAAAAGTAATGGACCTAAGATGGATCCCTGTGGTACACCTCGGTCTACAAGTCGCTCTCCAGAGATACTTTTGTCCCTTCCACTTGAGTGCATTTCAACCCGTTGCGACCTATTTTCAAAGTAACTGGCAAACCAATGAGTTGCGCTTCTACTAATTCCATAAAAATATAATTTGGACAGAAGTAATGGAATATTTAGGGTTTCAAACGCGCGTGAGAAATCAAGAAGCGTTAAAATTGTACCTTCCCCACTCGCCTGTGCGGTCAATATATCATCTACGACCGCTATAAGCGCAGTGGTAGTGCTGTGCTTTTTTCGGAATCCAGACTGCAACTTAGGAAGGATATTATTTGATTCTAGGTACTCTGTTAGCTGATTACATGCAAGCGTTTCAATAACTTTAGAAAGGCACGGTAGGATGCTAATAGGCCTAAGATCCGACATATAAACAGGGTTACTAGTTTTAGGTATAGGTTTCACGATTGCTTTTTTCCAGAGATCCGGGTAGGTATGTGTCGCAAACGATGTATTAATTATACGTGTTATTTCTGTAATAGCATCTTTAGGTAATAACTTTAACATATCAAGTGAAATGCCATCGCATCCCACTGCATTAGACCGCAGAGAGTTTACAACTTTAACAACCTGATCTTCTGAGACTTCTTTGAAATGAAAAGAGCTATCATTAGAGCCATTAAATTCAAAGAAAGTGAGAAGGGATAATGAAACATCATTATTTCCAGGAATATTCAAAAAATGATCGTTTAAGGCATTAGGGTCACTAAAATGAGATGGTAGTGAGGAATCCTTACTTTTTATTTGTACGTGTTCTTTAATATGTTTCCACATTATTTTTGGTTGCTTTAGTTTGGAGTTAACATAAAATTTGAAATAGGCAGTCTTTTCTGAAAATATCGCTTTACTTACTATTGATTTTAGTTCCCTATAATAATCCTTATGTGGAGTAAGTTTAGTTTTGCGAGCTCTGGCTTGTGCTTCGTTACGCGTCCTCATCATACATCTTATGTTATACGTTATCCAGGGATAATATTTTTTTTTTTATATAAACAGTTTTAGAAGGTGCGTGAGCATTGAATATATCTAATACAGTGTTATTAAAAGAGTAAATCATATCGTTTATGTTATTAGACGATGCACAGTGCCAGTTGATATGTATTAAACATTGTTTAAAGATATTTATGTCCATTTCCCTCAAAGGTCTATATGTGATGCACTTAGGCTGAAACTTAGGCTTAGAAATATTAAGCTCACATACAATAAAAGCATGACTACTGAGGTCATAAATATAATCTACTTTTATGTATGACACTGATGCATCTGTACAAACAATGTCTAAGAGTGTCTCGCTGTGTTCTGTAAAATGTGTAGGTTCCTCAACATATTGCACTAGGTTATGACACATTAGGAAGTCTGACAGCATTTTGGTACTGACACAATTTTTATTTAAAATGTCGATGTTAAAATCTCCGAGCAGTACTGTTTGATCGTAGCCTACAAAAGAACCTAAGGATTCGCTCAGCGCGTCCAGAAACAATGACACGCTTAACCAGGGGGGGCGATAAGCAGTACCGAAAATAAGGGACTTACCGTTAATTTTAATATTTAACCACATTTGCTCCACCGTGGGACAACTCGGATGCTGAATAATTCGTGATGATAAGCCCTGTCTCAGATAAAAACCCACACCCCCACCGCGCGCACGAACCTCGGGAGGCCGGGGAACGTGTCGCAGTCGATACCCCGGCACGCAAGGCGCTCGCCCCTCCTCCCCTGCCCGAAGCCATGTTTCGTTGATGGCCATAATGTCTACCGAGTGATATGCCATAGCAGCTATGAACTCGTCGTGTCCAGTACCGAGAGAGCCAGGGTTTAAGAAGCCAATTTTTAACTTATTCGACTTAATCATTTTCATATAAATAAAACGTGAACAATATAAAATTAATAATAATCCAAAGGTAATCATGATAAATTAGACTTTGACACCACTGCTTATATACGGTTAAATATATCTCAATGTATATTGACAAACACACAACTTTACATTTTATTTGACTACTGAAAATTTTACGCCCTAATACGTTTCCGTAAATTCCCTTTATGCTGCTACACATTAAAGTATAAATATAAAATCTGTCATCATATTCACTATAATCTAAAACAAAACATAAATGCAATAACCCGAAAAGTTTAACTACAAAATAACATTGAAAAAAATTACTCCATATTTCGCTAATCTTTGCAGCCCAACAGCTTAATAAAAATTCTATGTAGCTTAATAATAAAGTGGAAACAAAATGTACTCTAAACAAAAATAAAATGTTCTTGTAATAGCTATAATATAGATGCGTACGAAAAATTACAACAAAGAGATGATTGTGATGGAAATCTGAACTGGCACCCAAACAAACATCTTGCAAGAAATAAAAACAAAAAGAAGATCAGGACTCGCTCTAAACTATTCATTCCGCAAAAAAATTATTTATGTCCATTTCTGTGCGAATTCTATGACGCGGTGAGCCAGAATCACGACGCGCAAAAATACATCCGTCTCGCGTCCAAACATATTTCCATCCTTTGCGCCGTCCTTCTTCCCGTGCCTTATAAAACAGTTGCCTGTTAATTGAGGTAAGCCGCTCATTAACATAAAATCGGCGCGGCTCGGCACTTAAGTTCAAACCAGCAGTATCCGCACCTCGCCGAACACGCGCTTCATGAATTAGTTTGTCGCGTATCACTCTACGAGCGAGACGGACAACCAACGGACGCGGCCTCGGCTTATCGGTGCTGCCTGGTATTTGTTCGCGGCGTATGCCTATACGTCTCGCGCTTACTACATCGCGCTCATCCAATTCAGCGCCTATTTTGGCGGCAAGCAAAGTGACGAGGTGCAAGGGTTTTTTCACCCTTAAGCTCTGTTACACCAGATATCTCGACGTCGTTTAAAAGCAATTCCTGATCCCGCTCATTAAGTCGATACTTTAACTCTGTTATGCTTTCTTCGACTTTGGATCCTCCGGGTTGGCTCGGTATATCCATCGCCTGCTGCTCGAGATATGTGACCCTTTTCTCGACGTCGATGACCTTGTTGCTTAGTTCACTAACATTGGAGTTAATGTTAGCAATTTCTTGGCGAAAAGATACCATTTCACGAGCAATAGTAGTTAACTGCTCGCGTATTAATTTTAACTCGTTTGCTAAGTCAACCTTGTCTTCACAGTGCCCTCTCTCGTTGGGTCCGGGCTGTGCGTCGCCGAACTCAGTATCCGTGCCACCGGAGCTACACGAACTAGGCGTAACAGATACATGTTTTGTTTTACAACCGCTACATTGCCATTTACCTGATACACGGCCGTCAATAGGAATACCAGCACATTTGCGATGAAATAAATGCATGCAACTCAGGCATTTTACTGAGTCCATTGTAGAAGCAAATCTTCCGCAGGCGCCACACTTATTTGCCATTTTATCGGAAAGTACCTGTAGTTTATAGCAAGTCCAAAAGATGTCACTGCACGGAGTGTTTTTGTTTTGTATGTACTTTTGTTAAATATAATTAAAATGATGTTTACAAACAAGTATATTATTTACACTGTTAAACTTGCTTACATTTAAATAATAAGTTTATTTAGGCCCTGTTCACTGCTGTTGTTTTGCAGCGATGCAATATCAAACAGCTGATTGTGTTATGATCAGCTGTTTGCTATGTGTAATTTCTATTTTGCACTTTAAAACTATTTCACTTTTAATGCACTAATGTGTCCAATAACACTACTAAAATTATCGTCCAAAATACGTGTTCACTTATTAAAAATCACTGTTTAATATTTTAAAACAATTTTTAAATTCGAGACACATGCACTCGACAGCCGACCGAGCTACCCTCTCCCGACCGAGCTATTATTTGATAATTTTTTTTTGAAAACTATAAGCGACCGGCGATTTCTGCTTGTTGATTAATTCATTATTATTTTTTTTCTATTGTTTAAAATGTATTTAATTGTATTACACGAACGTCAATGTCCTTTACATTTACTGGCTGTGCCCAGAAATAGATATTTTTTTATTAATTTTACAATTGTTTTAAGTTCCTTTCCATTTGTTTGAAACCTATTTCATGCTGTATATCTGCAATTTTGGCAATAAATTTCACACGAAAAATACTTGATTTTGACCGGTGTTATTTCTTAATTTTTGTACCAACCAAATATTATTTTATCAATACATAACTAACCAAGTTGAAGGCAAAAAACAATTTTTATCACAAACTAAGAGTTACATGTTCTAACATAGCCACCTTGATTTTTTTTCATGTAGTAGCGAGCACGCGAGCAAGCAGCCCATCACAAATAGTAATTGTTCGCAGTATAATAAACAAGCTGCTGCCCGCGACTACGTCTGCGTAGAATAGGTTGAAGGCGCGTAACATTCAGACAGAAGGTCAGATATACATAAAAATATGTAAATAAATTATAGCCTATGTATTATTCTGATGTATAAGCTATATTGTTGTAAAGTTTCATTAAAATCAATTCAGTAGTGTTTGCGTGAAAGAGTAAAAAACATGCATCCATACATACAAACTTTCGCGTTTATAATATTAGTAGAAAAGTAAGGATTACTTCGTCCACACATCATGACTAACATTATTCTATGGCTTTATCTTTGCTGATTTGTGTATAAATAGGTGCGTTTTTAGAGATATGACGAGTTAGATATTCTTACGCGGCCGGTAAGAACGTATTTGTGAAAAAATGAGTTTCAAAAATAAAGTGGTTGTAGTGACCGGTTCCAGTTCTGGCATCGGCGCGTCCGCCGTTATCGAGTTCGCTAAAGAGGGGGCTAACGTTGTCATAGTGGGAAGGAACGAGGCTAAGCTCAATAATGTACGTGGAGAATGCGAAAAGTACGGCAAAAAACCACTTGTAATTAAAGCGGAAATGTCGAAAGACGCCGATGGCAAGAGAATCATTGACGAAACAATAAAAAAGTTCGGAAGGATCGACGTGTTGGTCAACAATGCTGGGATTTGCGAAACAGTTGACATTACCAGTGAAAACTTTATGGAGGGCTATGATCCCATCATAAACGTGAATCTGCGTGGAGTTGTGTACATAACCCATCAAGCTATACCACATCTAATCAAGTCGTAAGGGAACATCATTAATATGTCTAGTGTGGCTGCCACTAATGCCGCTGGTATGCCTGATTTACTTGCGTACAGTGTGTCGAAGGCGGGCCTTAACCATTTCACCCGGTGCGCTGCGCTGAAACTAGCTAGCTACGGTGTCCGGGTTAACACCATTAGTCCGGGTCCGGTCCGAACAGACATTTTTAATAATCCCACCATGGAGTCTATAACCTGGGAGAAAATAGGCGAAATTACCGCCTTGAAACGTGTAAGTGAACCCGTAGAAATCGCAGATCTGATTTTATTCTTGGCGAGTGACAAAGCGGGAGGGATCACAGGTTCCAATTTCGTGTCGGATAACGGTGTGACGATTATGTACTAGATAAATTACGTTTCAGTGATTTGGTTGTTCATGTTAGTTAATAAATATGCATTGCGTTTACTCATTATTTCATTTATCTTTATTTTATTTAAAAGTTTAACAGCTCGCAAACTAAAACATACACAGAGAAGTAATTTAAAGAACATGCGATACACAAATCTGTTACTCACTTACTCGTATAATTAAACATACCATTAACTAATCGTAGATATAAAATTATTAATATTATTATTGCCTAAAGAGTTAAAATTTAATAAAAGGATTAAAATTTAATAAAAGTGAAACTTAACTTATCTTAACTGAAATGAACAGTTCAGAACACCTTGAATTTGAATTTATGTATGGTTTCCATTTCAAGTAACCTCATCCGGCTATGGAATTTAATAGTTTTTTTTTTCATCATTCCGGCAATGGAATTTGACAGTTGAATCATAGTAGTCTGTAATGACACAAAAAAAATGTCAATTGTCATTTATACGTCTTTATTAGATATAATCTCTCACTTCTTAGTCGTTCCCTCACTGCCGAGGATCGTTACTCATGTTCAATAGATCAACGAACTGCCTCTATCCATCGCCTGGTGGCTTTTAGGGATTTGCTTGTGCGACGGGCCGTCCATGGTATTCGCAGCATACGGCGTCAACACCACATTTGAAGGGCGTTTATTAATTATCTGTCTGATTATATAATTTGATTATATATACCGAGTGATGTGGAAACAAGAGAATGCACAGCGCTATCTAAGAAAATAATACTCAATTATAATATCTGCTATACAATTATGCGGTACAATTAAACCATTATATTAATCACGTTTATCTCATGAAACTGATTTAAAAATATTGTAAAAAAATCTCTGCTTATAATTTTAAAATATTTTTCTTACAAGTTTATGATTCAAAACGACATACCTGCAAGGAACACTCAGTGGAGATGCCTAAAACTATACAAAAAATTGACACAACATTATGCTAGAAGCGCCGAAGTAGTATAGCAATTAGCACTAGTACAAGAACAAAAAAGAGTACTGGCATAACAGATAAAATTTTTAGTTATTTTCCGTTTGTTACGCTAAAGAAGTACCTATAACTTCTTACATGTGCACACATTTTTTTTTTCATTATTTACATAACACAGACGAAATTAGTTTATTAATAATATTTTTTTTATGTGAAAGGATGTCAAACGAGCAGACGGTTCACCTGATGTTAAGTGAATACCGCCGCCCATGGACATCTGCTACACCCGAGGGTTGCAGATGCGTTGACAACCTTTTGAAAATTGGGTTCCGGCTACCTCACTCACCTAACGAATATAACTAACCAACTAAGTTGAAGGTAAAAAAATAACATTTCGTTCGCAATGAGAGCTACTATTATGTTATAACATAGACACCTTGAATTTTTTTTCATGTAGAAGTGGACACGCGAGCAAGCAGGCGCAGTTCAGATTATAATTTTTTGCAGAATAATAAATGCCTACATTCATTAATGATGACTAGTAGATTCTATGGCTTGCCGATTTGTGTATAAATAGGCACTTTTTAAGATAAAGCAACTTAGACACACTAACGCAGCCAGTGAGAACGTATTCGTAAAATATGAGTTTCAAAGATAAAGTTGTTGTAGTGACCGGATCCAGTTCGGGTATTGGCGCCTCCGCCGCCATCGAGTTCGTTAAAGAGGGAGCCAATGTTGTCATAGTGGGAAGGAACGAGGCTAAGCATAATAATGTAGGTGAAAAGTGCGAAAAGTACGTCAAGAACCCTCTTGTCATTAAAGCCGAAATGTCGAATGACGCCGACGGAAAGAGGATTGTCTTCGAAACAATAAGGAATTTCGGAAGGATCGACGTGTTGGTCAACAATGCTGGAATAGGCGAAATGGGTGACATTACCAATGAAAACTTTATGGAGGGTTACGACCGCATCATAAACGTGAATCTGCGTGGAGTGGTGTACATAACCCATCAAGCTATACCGCACCTAATCTAGTCGAAAGGGAACATCATTAATATATCTAGTGTGGCTGCCACTAATGCCGCTCAAAATTGGGCTCCGGCTACCTCACTCAACAGATGAAACGCAGAAGTATTTATTATACTTCCACTTCACGCCGGTCTTGTGAATTTTTGGTAGTTACATGAGTTGAACCGCCTGCTCGTTTGGCAACTGGTTACATAAAAAAGCACGTATAACAAACAAATAATCTGCCTATAACAAATAATAAAATCTATCAGTATATAGTCAAGGGGTGGTATAGTATTACTATACTACCAGTATAATATGCTCTAATTAATTGAAAACTTTTTCTTTGACGAGGAGACAATTGGGCAAGAGACTCATAAATGCGTTGTCAGCCTACCAAGGTATTAAATGGATTTTTTTAAAGATACTTAGATAGTATAATTCAATATAGATACTCCAGCAACCAGTTCAGATAACGTTAAAGTGCCGACACCAACGAAATTGTTTATTGCAATTTTAAGTGCCGATTTATCACGTGCTCAGAGTTGACGGAGAGCATCGCGAGAAAAAAATGCATGTTTTCGTAATAAAAACTAAAGAAATCACGAAGCAATAGTAATGTCTCTTTGAGCGTGTATTTTTGTTTTCAGGATGGAAAGATAATATTCAACATGAAATAAATACATGAACCCTTCTGCGAGCGCCTTTCAAAAATCAGCTAATGAAGTACCTCTAGGAACCATTTAAATATATTTAAAAAGAACCCACGCAATCCAATACATTAAAAAAAATCTTATCAATGACAAAAGCTAAGATAGATCTCATTAATAATGATAAACGCATAAAGTTTGTAATGTAATTCAGTTTCACGTTTGAGCTCCGTGGCATGTATATCGCTCCTTATGCTCGGTCCTTGTCGGATGCCATAGAATGCAACGGAACCTTGCAACAACGTCTTCACTGTTGCACGAATGGGTAGGTCCGTCTGAGGAAGTACTTAATACTTACGTTGAATAAACGTAAGTATTAAGGTACATGTCTGCATTTCAGACATCCAATAATTTCTGATAGATGTACCACCAAATTTCAAGTAATTGGACGCTGGTTGTCTCACTCATACGACAAAACGCAAAATGATATGTAACTTCCACTGCACATCGCTCTTTTGCCAGGTCGTGGTAGTTGCCCGGACGAGCTTGCACATTCGCAAGTGGAAGATGCTGCGTGGCTCAACGAATAAATACATAAGTAACTTGGTAACTAAATTTGGAAAAAAAAAACACATGTCATGTTTTTGAATTATATTTTGATTGTCACTTGTTTAAAGGTTGAGAACAAAACAGTTAAATCATATATCACAGAAATTCAATGACATATTTTTTTTTAAATGACAATTCACAAAGAAAGAAACCATTAGTTAAATAAGATGAAAGGAAATTAGGTGTCTCCCATTCAGTATATTAATTTTATAATTTACTGTCATAATGAACCAAATCATAGACAGTATTTTTTTTAGTTTAAAATCATCATACCGTTGTCCGATACGAAGTTGGAACCGGTGACGCCTTTTGCTTTTTCACTTGCTAGGAATAAGATCAGATCTGCGATTTCCACAGGTTCACTTACACGTTTCAAAGCGGTCTTTTCACTGATATGTTCCCACGTTATGGATTCCATAGTAGGGTGCTTAATTATGTCCGTTCGGACTGGCCCCGGACTAATGGTGTTGACCCGGACACCGTAGCTAGCTAGTTTCAACGCAGCGCACCGGGTGAAGTGGTTAAGGCCTGCCTTGGACATATTGTATGCGATTAAATCTGCGTTACCAACGGTATTAGTACCAGCCACACTAGATATGTTAATGATATTCCCTTTCGATTTGATTAGGTGCGGTATAGCTAGATGGGTTATGTACACCACTCCACGCAGATTAACGTTGATGATGCGATCGTAGCCCTCCATAAAGTTTTCGTTGGTAACGTCAACTATGCCCCCAGTCCCAGCGTTGTTGACCAACACGTCGATTCCGCCGAACTTCTCTATAGTTTCGTCCACGATTTTCTTGCCGTCAGCGTCCTTTGACACGTCTGCTTTAATGACAAGAGGGTTCTTGCCGTACTTTTCGCATTTTTCACGTACATCCTCTAGCTTAGTCTCGTTCCGTCCCACTATGATGACGTGAGCCCCCTCTTTAGCGAACTCAATGACAGTGGATGCGCCGATGCCTGAACTGGAACCGGTCACTAGAACAACTTTATCTTTGAAACTCATTTCTCCACGAATACGTTCTCACCGGCTGTGCTGTTATATCTAAGTAGCCTTATCTCTCATAAAGCAACTATTTATACACAAATCAGCAACGATAAAGCCACATGTTACTGTGCAAACAACTACTATCTTTTTTTTGTTTCTTGCTTATTTTCAGCTTTTTCTAATACTATTATAATCGTTTACTGGTTTCTTATCTAATGCATTCGTTGTTAGTGGATTAGAATACAAAACAAAAACAATCTTGCGTTGTCATTTTACGTATATTTTTAGATTGTGGTTTCAAGTATACGAACTATGTTTGTGCTTAAGTTGCTATTTACTATAATTAATATCGTATCAATGTATTGTTTATACGGTATTAATTATAAGATATATATTTTATTTAATTGTTATTAGAGCCGTGATAGCTCAGTGTCCGGGCGCTCACCGTTAATTCAATATACTCGAGCAACCTGAGTTCGATCCCCGGTGCCGGCACCAATGAAATTGTTAATTTTAAGTGCCCAGTCAAATCGTGAGGAAACCTGCATATTTTTGAAAAATAACAAAAAAATATATCGAAGATATGTGAAGTCCGCCAATCCGCAGTGGGGCCGCGTGGTGGACTATGCCCTGATACCCTTTGTACAGAGGAGGCCTTTGCCCGTGGGACATGTACCGGCTGATACTTTACTTTTGTTAGATATCAATTAATTATTGTAATGTTCTCGAATGGCGACCACAAACCGGAAGACGTAGCGTTGGAAGGCCTCCCTCTAGGTGGACCGACGACATCATTAGAGTCGCTGGCAACCGGTGGATGTAAATGGCAAAGAGTCGTTCGTTGTGGCGTTCTAAGGGGAAGGCCTATGTTCAACACTGAACGTCTTGCGGCTGATGATGATGATTAAACGTATTGTGGAAACTTTACAATTAATTTATAACAATTTCCGGTGCTTTAAGGACGTTTATACATCCTCGTTCACGTGGACGCACATCCAGATTGCGTCAAACTTTCTACGGGTTACATACAAATGTTCCGTATGAGTCTCGATCACGAGTCTATCACCGAAGCCAATAGCTTAATAACTGCGCAACTAAGGCATTACTGGACCACTGTACTGTACTGAATATAACATTATTAGAAATAGAAACGATAAGTGATTTTTTAAAAGGACTTATTGCCCAGTAAGCCACGTACGTAGAGTTTAATTACAGTTCTAAATGACCGACAAAATCGTTATTAATTCGGGCGGAGCTTCAGCACGTTACAACGGCTGATAAAAAAATTAACGAGCAAGTGGGCGCGGCTCGTTTTATAGCTCGTTGCAGTGTTGCCTTTCGACGTTTCGATTTCTTAAGAACGCTTCGGAGTTGGGAGTGTCCTGATCGATTCCCAAACGAGACAAGTATTTTGTGATCAACAGATAACAGATTGCTACGGATCTGGGTGTTTGTTCTCAAAAAGGGTTCATGACGAGTCGGAAGTAAAATCAATCTAGCCAATACCACTAATAGTACGCGATGTGCTGACCCTACATTTTTTGTATCGGGGAAATCTTTGAGAGGGTATCTTTCAAATTAAAAAACAGGGTTATGTGGGGTTCTTACCCATTAAAACCCCCGTCGGTGGCCACCTTCTGTATATTTGGAGGGACTCCGGGATCTCCTAGGGAACGCACCGGTGTCTCTCGGGATCCTGTAGTACAGAGGTGCGCGTGAGCGAGCCTCGGAGCTTTCTCCGTTCTCCGGGGAAGGTTTAAAGATAAACCTTCCCCGATTCCCTTTCCATCTTGCAGCTTTCGTGCTGCTGCAAGATGACAAGGGTATGTAAATGGGTAAGGCAAGTCCATGTCCCCTTTTGGGCGCAATTTTCTGCACTGCACAACTACTTTGTGCAACGAGTTGTCGCCAGTGGTATTTGCGGACCGATACGTCTTAGGGACCTTCAAGAAGAGAGCCTACTCCTACCTTAATGGTCGGCAACGCAATTGCGACTCAACTGATGTTGCGAATGTCCATGGGCGGCGGTAATCGCTTATCATCATGTGACCCGATTGCTCGTTTACTTCCTATTTTCATTGAAAAAGGCGCCTTTTATGACAGGCAGGGAATACCTTATCCCTATTCTATGAGCGCGAGAATACAGGGCTGAGCCCGAGACGACAGGGCTGACACTACATAGGTGGGAGTGGGGCAGTAGAAACAGATTCCCCTGCTGTGCAAACATTTTATAGTGTTTTATTAGAAAAATAAGAAGTTTCGCTGATTGATACTACTAACGAGCGACAATCGTACATTTGTCGATATCGGTGGTCAAAAAGCGGGACTAATCGGTAATGTTTGTTTTATTTGGATATCAGTGGTATCGGATGACTCACGTAAGCATATCACGGATTATTACATCTCCATGATTGCTTATATTAGATTTGTAAATTGTGCGAAAATCGTCACAGTGCAATAATTGTCGGCTGAGAACATTTTTGCGCCAACATCTTGTTTCGTCTGCATCAAAATTCCTTAGCTCATAAGTATGAGGTCGAAATCCATGACACTGGTTAAAATTATACAAACCATTTTAATCGTGCTAATCTCTGCACTTAAGATTTAACATTAAAATTTGAAGTACGTAAAGTTCGAAAATATTGTCGCCGCTGTGGGAATCGAACCCACGTCTTCGGCATTCGCGGCCTGACGCTTTTGGCCATTAAGCTAAACGGCTGATTGCCACACCGACGAAAAATCTTAACGTGTTTTATCTACATTGTTTTTATAGCATTTGAAACAATGCTTGGCGGCATCCATTGTTATATCCTTTCATTTTTAACATACCATATGTTTATAAACAACACAAATCGGATTAACCTAAGGAAGTACAAATAACCCAACAAGCTTGTCAAAATATCCCAACGGTAGTAATAAATACTCCTACTTCAAGCAAAAGAATATGTCAAAGAATTTAGTATTTAATAATAAAAAACTCATAATCTATCTGTATGCAGCTCTCGACTGATGCTCTACGTTAATACGTTAAGATTTCATTCCATTCAGATGGAACTGGTGGTCGGAGTAGAGGTAGGTCAAATGGAATTATAGATTTTCTCTTCACCTAAATTGTTCTGCCTCAACAGATATCGCCATGGATACCAAGTAACAGCTAACTGTAGCCGCTCGACACCTTAGGGTAAAAAATTGTTACAGTATATAACATTAATATGAAACACGAACGGAAGATAAAAGTGGACTGTTATAAATATATAAAAATAAATTTCAAAAAAATTAGGTTGCCAATGTGTCAAGTGGGATTTACTAACGAGGCAAACGCGATAGCGTAATACCTCCAATTCACGCCGGTTTTCTCTGTGGCCACGGTATTGCCCCGGACTTTTCTGTCCTTTCGCTGTATAGCAGAAGTTGCTGCGTGCCTAATTACAGGCGCTGCTCAGTTAACGGATTTTTTAAAGGCGCCTGCATAAGAGCTCGGACGGAGGTTGGAATATATTTTCTATTTTTTGTAATTTGAATTATATTTAGATTATCACTTACTAGTTACTGTAAAGGTTGACAACAATACAGTATAAGCATATTTCACAGAAATTTAATTAAGTTATTCACAATAAAAGAAAACATTACTTAAATTAGATATCCAAATGAAAAATGCAGTACATAAATTACCTGATAATAACATAAACAACTAAATCACGAGAAAGAAGTTTTTCTACTTTACAATCATCATTCCGTTGTCCGATACGAAGTTGGAACCGGTGATGCCTCTTGCTTTGTCACTTGCCAGGAATAAGATCAGATCTGCGATTTCCTCAGGTTCACTTACACGTTTCAAGGCGGTAATTTCGCCTATTTTCTCCCAGGTTATAGACTCCATGGTGGGATTATTAAAAATGTCTGTTCGGACCGGACCCGGACTAATGGTGTTAACCCGGACACCGTAGCTCGCTAGTTTCAACGCAGCGCACCGGGTGAAATGGTTCAGGCCAGCTTTCGACACACTATACGGGATTCCGTCTGGGGAGCCAAGGGTAATAGTACCAGCCACGCTAGATATGTTAATGATATTCCCTTTCGATTTTATTAGGTGCGGTATAGCTAGATGGGTTATGTACACCACTCCACGCAGATTCACGTTGATGATGTGGTCGTAGCTCTCCATAAAGTTTTCACTGGTAATGTCAGCTCTTGCGCAAGTCCCAGCGTTGTTGACCAACACGTCGATCCCGCCGAACTTCTCTATAGTTTCGTCCACGATTTTCTTTCCGTCAGCGTCCTTTGACACGTCCGCTTTAATGACAAGAGGCTTCTTGCCGTACTTTTCGCATTTTTTACGTACATAATCGAGCTTAGTCTCGTTCCTCCCAACTATGACGACGTGAGCCCCCTCTTTAGCGAACTCGATGGCGGCGGAGGCGCCGATGCCCGAACTGGAACCGGTCACTACAACAACTTTATCTTTGAAACTCATATTTCCACGAATAAGTTGTCACCGGTGTGACTACGGTTGGTACTTCTGAGTCGCGTTATGTCTCGTACTCCTATTTATATGCAAACCAGCTGCGATAAAACCATTTAATATACTTATTTACATCCATTGTTGTTACCATTATCTCAAAACTGGTTTTTATATGCGACGGATTCGAAATAATTTGCACAGAATAAAGGACAAAAATGCGCTTTTTTCAAAAATTTTACTTATTTTTTTTCATGTGACAAAGTGGCAAAGACGCTGGCGGTTCCTCTGATTTGCATTTACGTACCTTTTAATAAAGTGGGCTCCTCACTCACCAGACAAAATGCAGAAGCGGAACACTTCTATTTTACGCCGGTGTTCTGCGAGGTCGTGGTACTTACACGGACGGACCTGCCTGTTCGTGCAACAGTGAACACCGTTGCGTGGCCCTATCACACTTAAAGAAATTATGTTCATTGTTTAATAGCAACACACATCTAATTTACCTAAGCAAATACAACCCTCCCAGCAAGCTTGTTCAAATATCCTAACGATAGTAAAAATAATCCTACTTGAACCAAAAGAATATGTTAAAGAATTTTATATTTAATAATCATCCAAAACCGGCCAAGTGCGATACGAACACGCGCATGAAGAGTTCCGTACCATTATCTATAAAAACGGCAAAAATTTCATGTCTGTTGCCTGGGGAGCCCTACTTAAATATTTTTTATTATGTTTTTTCCAGTTTAGTAGTAGTTATATGCAATAGAAATACACCTCTGTGAAAATTTCAACTGTCTAACTATCACGGTTTATGAGATACAGCCTGGTGACAAACGGACAGACAGACAGATAGCGGAGTCTTAGTAATAATGTCCCTTTTTTTACCCTTTGGATACGGAATCCTAAAAAATAATGATCTATCTGTATGCAGCTCTCGACTGTTGCTCCAGTACGTAAGGCATTATAGATTCGGATGGATCTGGTGGTCAGAGTAGAGTTTGATTATGATGTGATTTGTTTGTAGGTGGAAGATAAATAAGGAAGTCCTAAATTCATATTATTATAATTTTTAGACTGACATATAGATAAAAAATCATTCTATTAAAACATCGTTTACATACTAGACTAAAGAATTCCCAATAGAGACTACGATATGCTATGATGCTTTTGTGCTTGGGTTCTATTACCAATGGAATACTAAAGTGGTTACATCCTGACGAAAATTCTCAGAAGCAATTTGGGATTAAGATGGTATTTATTTATATTTTATTATAACACTACTAACAAGTTCTAAGCAAAACCGTATTTTGACAGAAATGTGTTGAGAGTAGTAGAGTTATAGAGCCGCTACATATTTTATGGGATTTGAATGACTAAATGTGAGTATTAATATACATTTAAAATAATTTTATATGGGGAAAGCAATACATATCTTAATACTTCAATCATAATTCTATGGAAAACCAGAAATTAAGTAAGCTGCAAGTTACTGTTCATTAGTTATGTGACATTGCATTAGATACTGACAGGCGCTTATTTTTATGTTAATTAAATTTTTTAGCTTTATAACCTTTTAATGGGGTCAACACGTTTTAAAGTGGCAAAGGTTCACAAATGGGGTAACGTCCTTAAAATTATTTTTCTTACATTTATGTTTCAATTTATTTATCCAATATTTACAACATTAAATCTATCTAAAATTACATATATCTAATATACCTAATCCACGCGGCATGATGCCGCAATGCTAGCTGCAGTTCTTTTGTATCCTTTAAAAAAGTAAAGTAAAGTAACAGCCTATACATGTCCCACTGCTGGGCAAAGGCCTCCTCTATAGAGAGGGTATCAGGGCATAGTCCACCACGCGGCCCCACTGCGGGTTGGCGGACTTCACATATCTTCGAAATATATTTTTTTTTGTTATTATTTCGAAAATATGCAGGTTTCCTCACGATGTTTTCCTTCACCGCGGAGCACGTGATAAGTCAGCACTTAAAGTTAAAAAACTTCATTGGTGCCGGCACCGGGGATCGAACTCAGGTTGCTCGAGTATATTGAATTAAAGGCGAGCGCCCGGACACTGAGCTATCACGGCTTGTATCCTTTAAATAGTATTTTTTTATTCGGCACTTCCAGCGCTTGACTGCCATCCCAAATGATGCTAAGTGGCGATGCAGCCGATGATGGGAAGCAAGCTAGGGCAGTAAAATTTCAAGCTTGCCTTGCAGACGCTTACGTTAAATCGGAAAATAGGTAATCATTCTCATCAATACAATTCATTTTGGATTCGTGCTTTGTACGGATAGATGGCGTTACATTAGCCGGTTGTTGTTTGCCTTCGTTTTTGCTTAGATTGCTTTGTCACTTGATAAGAATAAGATCAAATCTGCAATTTCTACAGGGTCACTTACACGTTTCAAGGCAGTCATTTCGCCTAATTTTTCCCACGTAACAGATTCCATGGTGGGATGATTAATAATGTCTGTTCGAACTGGCCTTGGACTGGTGGTGTTAACCCTGACACCGTAGCTGGCTAGTTTCAGTGCAACGCACCGGGTGAAATGATTAAGGCCCGCCTTTGACATACCGTACGCTATGAAATCAGGTATTCCAACGGTATTAACACCAGCCACACTAGATATGTTAATGATATTCCCTTTCGATTTGATTAGGTGCGGTATAGCTTGATGGGTTATGTACACCACTCCACGCAGATTCACGTTAATGATGCGGTCGTAGCCTTCCATAAAGTTTTCACTGGTAATGTCAACTAGTTCACTTATCCCAGCATTGTTGACCAACACGTCGATCCTTCCAAACTTCTCTATAGTTTCGTCCACGATTTTCTTTCCGTCAGTGTCCTTTGACACGTCCGCTTTAATGACAAGAGGCTTCTTGCCGTACTTTTCGCATGTTTCACGTACATTCTCGAGTTTAGTCTCGTTCCTCCCCACTATGACGACGTGAGCCCCCTCTTTAGCGAACTCGATGGCAGTGGAGGCGCCGATGCCTGAACTGGAACCGGTTACTACAACAACTTTATTTTTGAGACTCATGTTTTCACGAATACGTTGCCACCAGTAACGTTGGTAAATTTGAGTCGCCTTATGTATTTAGTATAGCAATTATTTATACACAAACCAGTTACGATAAAACCATTTAATGTACTTATTTTACAAAGATTATTGTTACTAACATCATTATATACCTATCTCAAAACTGGCTTTTATATGCGATGGATTCGATGTAAGTCGTACATAATAAAGGACAAAAACGCGTTGTCATTTTCACTTAATTTATAATTAAATAATGGCATTGTGGTTACGATTATGTTCGTTTAGGCTGATATATCAGGTTGCTATTCACTATTAACTTATAATTGTATAAATATATTGAGTGAAATGTACAATAAATTTGTAATAATTTCCTGCGTTGTAAGGAAATTTAAATCGACTCGGACAAATTGGCTGCAGGTCAACAAATTTTTCGTGTGAGTCTCTATCACGCTGGCCGCAGCAGATAGCTTATGAACTTCATCACAAAGTTGTCACTGTTCCACTGTGATGAGTCGTGATGGTTAATATTTATTTATGAAATTACGGGAAACCCTCTTACCGAGCTTTGAAGCCTAGCTACGTCTATGGGTCGGTGTCGGTGCTATGGTGAGTATGGTTTTTTTATGTTAAAAGTGGCCAAGCGGGCAGACGGTTTAACCGATGATAAGTGAATACCGCCGCCCATGGACATCTGCTACACCCGATGGTTCCAGATGCGTTGACAAATTTTTGAAAATTGGGCTCCGGCCAGCTCACTCACCAGACGAAACGCGAAAGTATTATAAGTACTTCCACATTACGCCGGTCATCTGTGAGGTCGTGGTACTTACCCGGACGGACCTGCCCATTCGTGCAACAGTGAACACATTGTCTCTTGCTATTAGAAACGAAGAAGACTGTAAGAGGCTGCAGATCCACATAGACAGGGCAGTCAAGTGCAGTAAAGACAACCAGAAGGTCGAGGTGTTGAGTTGTTGAACTCAACACCTCGAAGTGCGTGACAATTAGTTTCTGTTTCGGTTCGGTTTACCTCGGGACTAACGATTCATTAACAGATGTTTTCACAAAAGAATACATGAAGTAAGGAAGTGAAACGTTTTACCGTTCGAAGAATAAAATTCTTCGAACGGGTAAAACTTCAAACAGGTATTCCTTTAAACGAGCAATTCTGGTATATATATATATAAATATCACGATCATTTACACAGGTACTATAAATATGAACTAAGCAACAGACCAAAAATGAGCTAGTTTTCATTTTTGATGATACTTGTTAGACGGAGGGGACTTTTTGATCGAACCATACAATTTTTAGGACAAATATTCGAATTATTTGGAAATTTTGAATATCTTGAGATTTAACGAAAAAAAAAAGCATCCCGTTTTCTAATCAACTTCAAAAGGAGGAGGTTCTATGAACGACTGAATGTATTTATTTTTGTATTTATATTCACCGATTTTTTAAATTCATCAAATCGATATATTTTATGCCCGTTGGCTACTATAATCGGTAATGTTTATCAGGGCAAAAAAATGTAAACATCAATCATCAAGAGAAATTCAATGTTACCAATGATGATGGTCACATCAAGCAGCAAACCTCCCAGCCCTGGCTGGTCTGTGGCTCGACCGCTTATCACATGGACTTTACACCATGATCTTCATGTTTTCCAAGTTCATCTTAAGGCCCACGGGAGACAGTGTAGAGGCCATTGAGCATAGTAATAAGATCCTCCAGCGATTCTGCAAATCGAAAGATGTTGTATTCGCCATTGAAGTTTCCAGTCCAGAATCTTGAAAACGTGTATGCACATGTATGCAGATGACTCTTGCTTTATTTTTGCTAAATAAATATATCTTAAATATGTAGTTGATTAAAAAAACAATGTATTTGTTATTTATCACACATGTACTCTTCGTTGGATGCGGTCAAATTTTGTTGCCCTAGCCCAT